TGAAATAAAGAATAATATACAGAGATTCAACAGCAGACTAGAGGATCCCAAGAATCAAGTCAAAGATTTGAAATTCGAAGAAACAAAAAATACCCAACTGGAAAAGCAAAAAGAAAAAAGAATCCAAAAATATGAAGATAGTGTAAGGAGCCTCTGGGACAACTTCAAGCGTACCAACATCCGAATTATAGGGGTGCCAGAAGAAGAGAGAGAGCAAGATATTGAAAACCTATTTGAAGAAATAATGACAGAAAACTTCCCCTACCTGGTGAAAGAAATAGACTTACAAGTCCAGGAAGCGCAGAGAACCCCAAACAAAAGGAATCCAAAGAGGACCACACCAAGACACATCATAATTAAAATGCCAAGAGCAAAAGACAAAGAGAGAATCTTAAAAGCAGCAAGAGAAAAAAGTCAGTTACCTACAAGGGAGTACCCATATGACTGTCAACTGATTACTCAACAGACACTATGCAGGCCAGAAGAGAGTGGCAAGAAATATTCAAAGTGATGAATGCCAAGAACCTACAACCAAGATTACTTTATCCAGCAAAGCTATCATTTAGAAGTGAAGGTCAGATAAAGAGTTTCACAGATAAGAAAAAGCTAAAGGAGTTCATCACCACCAAACCAGCATTCTATGAAATGCTGAAAGGTATTCTTTAAGAAGAGGAAGAAGAAGAAAAAGGTAAAGATAAAAATTATGAACAGCAAATACATATCTATCAACAAGTGAATCTAAAAATCAAGTGAATAAAAAATCTGATGAACAGAGTAAACTGGTGAATATAATAGAACCAGGGGCATGGAAAGGGAGTGGACTGACAATTCTTGCGGGGAAAGGGGTGTGGGGGTGCAGGAAGAGACTGGACAAAAATCGTACACCTATGGATGAGGACAGTGGGAGGGGTAAGGGCAGAGGGTGGGGTGGGAACTGGGTGGAGGAGAGCTATGGGGGGGGGAGAGGAACAACTGTAATAATCTGAACAATAAAGATTTAATAATAAAAAAAGAAAATGTATTAGAAACATCACAATATGTCCTAAGAAAGAGTATTCAATGATTAAAATAAACTAGATGTACATATATGAACACAGATAAATCAAATTTTGAATAAAAGAGCAAGTTACAAAATGATACCTACATTATGATAATTACATAAAATATAAAACACAAAATAACAATATATTCACATACACAATAAATGCTAACAACATGGATGGGAAAGATGCTTCAGAAAAGAATTAAACTCTGGGAAGGGAAAGTGAGTAGTAGGATTGCAAATAGGCAAAAGTAATAAAAAGGCTTCAACTATATGATGTTTTATTTCATTTTTGAGAAACTAAAGCCAATGTAGCAAAAATATTTACATTTATCATATCTACATGGGTGTTAAATTTTTCTGTATTTAAAAATATTTCATAGTACAATTAGCCTTAAAGTATGATTTTTTTTTCTAATTTAGAAAGCAAATGGTACATACCAGAACATCTGGGGGCCTTTATTACGAGCAGTGTCTAGGGACCCATTTTCTTCCCAGTGACTTAAAACCAGGTATCAGTCTAGTGGGCAGTTTCTATAGCTCAGGGCTGACGAGGAAGCATCCTTTCAGAGCCCTGGAGCAGTCAGAGATGCCTGGATTCTGATCCTAGCTTTGTGACAACTCAGTTGTGACAGTGGGTTCCCATGTCAAAACCTTCATTGTTTGCTCTGAAAGATTCGTGCTACTGAGACTGCTTTCAGTATTGAAATTTTATAACTTATAGAAATTATATATAAATATGTATTTGAAATATTACAAAGACTGGTGACTTCATGCCCTTTTGACAATAATTATATAGACTAAGGGAGTATCTGGAGTGGACACAGATGTAGGAATAAGATTCGATATTTGTGCGGTGGAGTCAGATCTGGATTTAAACCTTGCCTCATGGCCGCTTACTAACTATGAGCCTTGGTTTCCTAAAATATTCTGTTTTTTCTATTTCTTAAGACAAGAAAAAAAAATAGCGCCTACCTCAGCTTGGAAGGATTTTATGAGATTAACAATATTATTATTGAAGATGTTACAAATCAGTGCCATCACTGTTGTGCCTGGGAAGGTACTAGACTAAATCCTCAAACAATTCATTGCAGCCATCTTCCAAAGATGGGAGAAGCATAACATGCCAATTGGCCTTTGAAGTAGTAATAAATGAAATGATGCTGCATTCCTTTATAACCATGCATTTGCAGTGATTTAGTAAATGTTCTCATCATAAGAAAAAAAATTGTAACTATGTGAGATGATGGATGCTAACTAAACTTAGTGTGGTAATCATTCCATACACACACACACACACACACACACACACACACTAGTATATATCAAATCATGCTGTGCACCTTGGACTAAAACAATGTTACATGTCTCAAAACTAAAACAATGCCCTAGCTGGTTTTGCTCAGTGGCTAGAGCATCAGCCTGTGGACTGTAGGGTGACGGGTTTGGTTCTCAAGGGCACATGCCCGGGTTGCGGGCTTGTTCCCCAGTGCGGGTGTGCAGGAGGCAGCCGATCAATGATTCTCTCTCATCATTGATGTTTCTGTCTCTCCCTCTTCTTTTCCTCTCTGAAATCAAGAGAGGAAATATTTTTTTAAAAAAACTGAAACCATTATAAATATAAAAGAAATATAAATCAATTATACCTCAGAATTGAAAAATAAAAACAAGATAAAGTGATTTAGAAATGGTTCTGTATCAGTTCTAACTAGATAATGAATCATACATTGCTTCCAACTCTTGAATTCTCTTCTCTGTGGACTGTGGTTGAATTACCCTAATTGTTTACACAGGAAAAACAAAATTGAGAATACTCTTGGTTTTTAATGTGTGTTTTGTAATGTATACTCTTGCCATCAGTTTTACCAGGACTCTCCAAAGCAGAACCAGATGACAATGGGGGAGAAAGAATGATCAGTCAGGTTTAGCTTTAGTGCCTCTCAGAGCCGGGTTGCGATTTGCTGTGGAGCAGAAAACTTGGACAGTCATCTGCCTTGCTTAGTGACACAGGGCACAGCTGATGGGCTGATCGGCTGGGCCTCCAGTTCTGCTGACTGAGTATGTGCTGATAAATCTAGGTTTCGAGGGCTTGGGTTTAATGGAGCCCTGTGGTATCACAGGGGCCTGGCGAATGACAACCTCCTGCAGCTTATCAGCAGAAGATAAACAGAAAGGCGCTGGTCCCTCTGTCGGGCTGGGGAGATGTTTATCACCAGGCTTCTGAGAACAGGAGTTAGACCCATACCAACGCTTCAGAAGTAATGTCAACATACTGGAGACCACAGCCAGCAAGGAATTCTCTGAGATAAGATTACAACTTTGTCCTTAAAGCGATGCCGACCAAGTCAGTCGAGCCCCAAATGTTCCCTCAGCAGAGAGACCCTGTAAGTTATCCTCCATACCAAAGGACTTTAGGAACTCAGTTTTCTGTGTGCTGCTTGATGCAACTATTCTGCTATTTTCTAAACTATGTATAAAACCCTCGCAATATCTAAGAAAGGAACTCAATTTTCTATGTGTTTCCTGATGCAACTGTTATGCTGTTATTTTAAACGTTGTACAAAACTCTAGCAATAGCTGAGAAAGTCCTGCAGGGCCACGCTTGGTGCCTCCGAGATCAGGTGGTTGTAGACATTGAGCCAGCTCTCCATGGGCAAAAGCACTCACTCACCTTCTCTGGGGATTTTGTTTCTTCTGGGTCTCGCCTGAGGGCTCCAAGGCTAGATTAGACCTCTAGTCTAGGTCCAGGATGAAGGCATTAGAGGGAAAGGGAATTCCGTCTTTGAGATAACTAGGAGCCACTCCAGTAATCTGTTTAAATACAGAGTCATGAGTTTGGTTTAGATATCAGTATGCACCCTGGAGTGAGGGGGGCATCAGGGGTCAAGGTAAAGCAGGTATCCTCCCAAGACCACTCTGGGAATGAGAAAGAAACAGCCTACAGAGCGACAACTCACCTTCAGTTGTCGTCCAGATACGAGTGGCATCACTTCTTGCCTTGAAGTGCCTCCCATTCATTCCATTGCAGGCCCTGTGCACAGCCTGGTGTGGCCTCTGGATTCTAACCCCCTTCCCAGGGCTATGCCATATATAGTTACCAGGTTAATTAACAAACCAAAAAAAAAAAAAAAACCAAACACCCCTTTTTATCCTGTCATTACAATGAAGTCTTACAATAAACTTCATACTCCTAGTTCATTATTAAATGTTCTTAGTAATCTTTCTATCCAGTTTCTCCTTCATTAATCTTTATTCCATTCAAAAGATCTACGTATGGGCTGTGGTAACTCCGTTTTTCCATTTTCCTGCCTCTGTGCTTTTGTCCCCACCCTCTCCCCTTTTGGAATTCCTTCTCCCTTCTCTTCTAGTCACACACATCTCTTCCTCCAAACCTTGGCAGACCAGCCCCTCCAGCACTGATCTGACCCGCCTCTGAATTCTGCTGCCTTGTCGTCCAGAGTCCATACAATTAGTCACATTCTGCTGTGTGAATTACCTTTACCTCGTGTGCTCTGTATTGCTCTTTCACTCTCTGCTTCTCTCTCCTTCTGTGTGTGTGTGTGTGTGTGTGTGTGTGTGTGTGTGTGTAGCTAGATAAAGGGCCTCTGAAAATAAACTCTATGACTTGCATATCTTTAGAATACACTAATGGGTGCTCCATGACATTGCTATTGGTTGGTAATTCTCCTTAGGACCTTGGCTTTTTCCATGACGGCAGGCGTCTTTGTCTTCTGTCCTCTCCTGTTTCCACGGCACCTGGAGTGGTGCCTTACACAGAAAAAACTGAGTGAGTCTCGGCAAGTCCTGCCACTCCAGAGAGAGTTCCCTTGACCGGGGCCTGCAGCTGGCCTTGACGTTCTGCCTCGTGTCCTCGCTTCCTGAGGACGGAGCTGCCTCATGCCCGGGCTGGCAGGTGCCTTCGCTGCCCCTGACCCCTCTCTGTCTGTTTTTTCCTCAGATACATACTCTCATTCCTCAAGTGAAAACGGAGGCAAGTCCGAGTCAGTGGCCAACCTGCAGAGCCAGCCCTCCCTGAACTCCATCCACAGCTCCCCTGGCCCCAAGCGCTCCACCAACACCCTTAAGAAGTGGCTGACCAGTCCGGTGCGCAGGCTCAACAGCGGGAAGGCAGACGGAAACATCAAGAAGCAGAAGAAAGTGCGCGATGGCCGCAAGAGCTTCGACCTGGGCTCTCCCAAGCCCGGGGATGAGACGACGCCTCAGGGAGACAGTGCTGATGAGGTACCTACCTACGGCCCTCAGAAGGGCTTTGGCATTCATCCTTCCTGCAGCCCCGGCACCATCTTCCCCGGGGTGTAGCAAGCTGGACAGTCTAGTCCCCAGTAGCGTCTTCTTGAGCCTAAGTGACCTGAGTTCTCTGAGTTCTCAAGACCTGGCCAGTTTGATCTGTGGCCAGTTCAGAGCCTGAGCAGCACCTAGCACATCCGCACACAGACACCATTTTGCTAGATTTGGCTCCAAGGGGAGCCAGGTAGTCACCTAGGCCCCTGCCACTGCCAGGGACTCCATCAGAACCTGCTTGGCCTGTTTAGAACAGGAATAAAAGAACAGAGGTCATTTCACTTGGAAAACAGAAGACTGTGCTGGGAGATGGTCGCTCTTTACAAGTGTCTTGAGCACTGCCACATAGGAAAGGGAACAGGCAAGTCCAGCTTGCTCCAAGGGGAGAATTATGATTGACAAACGGTGAACATTATCACAGGCAAGGTTTCAGCTCCAAGAGGGACTTTACAGGGGGGTCAGCTAGTGAGGGAATGAGCCTCCATGAAATGAATGGCCACCATACTGCAAGGGTCTGGGAGACTGCGTGATCTCACATAACAGAGAGACGCCTGTATTAGCCCAGAGGTCAGACTGGATGACCCTTGGAAGTTCCTTCCAACTCTGAGATTCTGTGATCAAAATGTAGTGGGTCTGTTTTGGTTAGTGTAATAAGATAGCTGTTTTATCTGGCAAACTAACCTACTCTAGTCACCAGTGTGACTAAGAAGTACTTCCTGATCTGTAACCATACGCTCTTTGTAATTTTGTGCTGTCTGCCATTTCTTCCTGTGAAAAGGGGAGCCTGGTGATATTCAGACTGTGTTTTAATAGTCCTTCGAAAACTCAGGAAGTTAGCTCTCTCTGACCACACTCAGCTTTCCCTTTCACTGGCTAATCCACAAGGTAGATGTTTCTCACACGCATACGCACGCCCGCGCGCGCGCGCGTGTGTGTGTGTGTGTGTGTGTGTGTGTGTGTGTTTCCCTCATTTGGTCCTTACTGTCCTTTGAGGTAAGAAGTATACCTACTCTACAGAGGAAGGCACTGAGGCTAAAAAAATGTAGGGGTAGGTTGAGAGAGGAGGTATCTTATATGTTGCTTTAAAAAAATTGCCAAGTCCATTGGCATCTTTAACTCTATGGAACAGTGACTAATGCTGCTCTTTTGTTCTAGAAGAGCAAGAAAGGTTGGGGTGAAGATGAGCCAGATGAAGAATCCCACACCCCGCTCCCTCCGCCTATGAAGATCTTTGACAACGACCCTGCGCAGGATGAGATGGTAGGACTTCTTTGCTTTCTCACTTGAACAAGGACGTGTAACGCATGTGCTTTCATTGTGTGTGTGTGGTAGGCAGCAGTACTCTCTCCCTTGTTATCTCCTGCACCACATGAATCCATGGTAGTTGGTAGGGTCCTCCCCCTACAGACCCTGGAGGTCTGACTTTGTTCTGGGCAGTGTGGCCGTGTGTGTGGAATGGGCAGAGTGGGATCTGCTGGCATCGTGTCCTACTGATGAAAGGTCATGGCTTTGTCTTTGGGAGCAGCTGATCCCAAAAGGCACGGTTAGTCTCGAAAAGGAATCTGAGGTGGTCCCGGCCATGATTGTTTTCTTGTGCCTGACTGTACACCTCGTGCTTCAGTTGATTGTTTCCCCTGTCCCCAACTCTAACACCTAAATAATGGGAACTTCCAGGCAAGCCCAGTGCTGTTGAAATTCTGCAGGCACAGCATGAGGAGGGAGCTGAGGGGAGGTTGCTGTCAGAGGTGGGCAAACCCAGCATGCCAGGTTGCTCAAGTTCTCTGTTTTGCAAAATGCCCCGAGGCCCACAGGTGTTGGAAGTATGATGAGTGGGCCTCTAATCGCAGGATGATCATTCCGGTTGTTCTGGAGCAGAAGCTGAGGTGAGATATGTGTTCAGGTTCTGACCCGAGGCCAGAGGCTGCTTTAATCACGTGCTCCATCACTCACTGTCCTTACAAACCATACTTTCCCTTAGTGTTGCTGTCCTTTGGACTCTGGAGTTGAAGTGGTGGTTTCCATTTTTTATTGTACTTTGCATTTGCTTTTCAGAATGTCATGTACTGATTGTGGCAGTGGTAGTCATGGTGGTGGTGGCGTTGGCAGTGGTGGTGGTGGTGGTGGTGGTGGCGGTGATGGTGGTGGCAGTGATGGTGGTGGTGGTGGTGGTGGTGATGGTGGTGACAGTGGTAGTGGTGGCAGTGGTGGTGGCATTGGTGGGAGTGGCAGTGGTGGTGGTGGTGGTGGCGGTGATGGTGGTGGCAGTGATGGTGGTGGTGGTAGTGGTGATGGTGGTGATGGTGGCAGTGGTGGTGGTGGCGGTGGTGATGGTGGTGGCAGTGATGGTGGTGGTGGTGGTGGTGGTGGTGACAGTGGTAGTGGTGGCAGTGGTGGTGGCATTGGTGGGAGTGGCAGTGGCAGTGGTGGTGGTGGTGGCAGTGGTGGTGGTGGTGGCGGTGATGGTGGCAGTGGTAGTGGTGGCAGTGGTGTTGTTGGCAGTGATGGTGGTGGTGGTGGTGGTGGCGGCAGTGGTAGTGGTGGCGATGGTGGTGGCGGTAGCAATGGCAGTGGTGGTGGCAGTGGCTTAGCCAGGTTTCCCTGTGCTCTCTAGTGTTCTGCCTTGCAGTGGGGCAGCCCACTCTGATGTTGTGGGCCCAGCATACAGCACCACCTAGGATACAGTGCCAAAAGGACTGTGCAGATGCTTCAGCATTTCTGGTGACAGCCCAGTTCTTGTTTTAATTCTTCTCTACATTTGGGTCATTACCCACAGACACTAATTGAGGGCTTCCTCTGTGCCAGAGGGACTGATTCTAGGGACAGGATGATGACTAAGATGTGGTCGCTGCCCCCTCTGTGACTCACCATGAGAAGCACAGTGTGGCCCCTCCGAAGGTGATGTTGGTGACCCTGGTCTCTGGGGCCAGCTCTGACTCTTGACTATTGGCAACAAGGAGCAAGAAGCCTGGCATGGTGCCCATCCTGGAATCCCTGTGCTTCACCTTGAGGTGGGAACGAGGACCAGCCCGCTGTGTTCCCAGAGGTGTACCCTTGTAACATGTTCCGTAAACAGTGATAGCGCCTGTGGGCAGTGGGACGCTCATGTCGCATTATCTGCCGTCCCACGCAGCCCTCCGCACCGAGGTGCCAGCTTGCAGAAGATAAGTAAAGGTCATGAACCCTCCCCCTCTAGTAACCCCAGAAACAGCAGAAAGTTTGTTTGGGGGAAAGGATGTTATGTAGTTTCTAGATAATTTTTAACTGAAAATGTGGACTTACTCCCAGATGTCTATGTAGACTTTTCTCAGCCAGAAACCCCAGAAACCGGGAGATGGCAAGTCGCTTTGTAGACTGGTTAACTCTCCTCCGTCCTGCTTGTTTGACTTCTGAACCCTTGTTTTCTGGAAAATTGGAGGATCCTCAGAACTTCTAGCAAATGGTGTTGGGTTTATAAAAATAATTTTTACAACCATGTAAAAGGGATTTTTAAAAGTCTACTCATTGTAATGTTGTGCATGTTTCCTTCTAGTATTTGTTCATTTGCATGTATGTCTTATTTACTATGTCCTCATTAACTTTACCTCCGTAACTATAATTTCACTAGCTAGGGAGTATGAGGTTACTTATGTGCCAGAATTAGCTTGACCGGCCTGTTTGAGGATATCCCAGGTTGCTGCCAGCTTTGGCTACTCCCGATAGTACTGCCCAGGTCACCTGGTACATACACTGCTGCCCTTGGAAACAGTTCCCGGGGGTAGGATTACTAGATCACAAAGTTGATAACTTGGACTTCCAAACAGACTTACGCTTTTTTCCTGCATTCCCCAGGAGAGAAAAAAAGAGTGTCCTTATGTCTCTCTTAATTACATTTCTCTGATTTTTTTTTTTGCCCTGTCTCAGAAGTAGAGACTAAACTCACACTGAGATTAGACAACAAGACGCTTCCTTTCTGAAACTCTTCCCCAAACGTAAGGGACAAGCTGGCAACCAGAGCACAGCCAGGGCAGTCAGTCGTTAGTATCAAAGGCTGAAGGCGCGTGCGTCCCAGGCCCTGGGAACACCATTGCCCTCTGCTGCGATGTGCCAGAGGGAAAAGCTGCCCCATGCATGTAGGGTTCATCATTTCCCCCAATTTCTTCTCAAGTAGAAGGAAGAAAATATGCCACCGCCCCTCAGTGAGCAGGAGTTCCCAAACCATTGACCAACAGCCACCTGGACCCATCCTTATTGTGGGTTGAGGGGCAGCGGGACAGCCCATGGCTGAGCCTGCCTTCACTGTGATCGGGAGAGTCCCTCGTTGCTCCAGGAGACACACACGTCCTGCTAAAGCCCTTTATTGCTTCCCAGTGTTCCAGTGCGGGAATAGCTGTGTTTGTGGAGGAGTGTGTGTGAGGGTGCATGTGTGCGTGACTGTGTGTGTGACTATGTGTGTGTGTGTGTGAGGGGGAGGGGTCTAGCTTTCTGGTCTCTAAGTGCCCTGCCCCCAGCATTTTTGCTTGACACCAGGTGAAGATTATATTTAAGATCTGAGTAAAGCAAGGACAATTTCTCTTCTTTGGACACACGGAGGCTAGGTGTTTTTACTCCTTTCTTACTCCTTTCATACCCTGGAACAGCAATGAGCAGCACTGTAATGACCAAAGTCTTGTCTGGCCCCTTCCCCCCACGCCCACCACCTCACTGCTATCAGTGGGTGCAGCCCTTACCTATTGGCCTCTCAGGGAACACAGTGACCTCACCCCTCGGCTCCTTTGGTGGCCTGCCTAAGGAGAGCCTAGTCCCATCCCTGCTTCCTTCTGGCCAGATTTCCTGACAAGGGGTCTGGCAGGCCTGTCCCACACCCACACCCACTATCTCCCTCTGTCATCTCTTCCCTCGATACATAGAGCTTTGCTTGCCTTGCCTGCCTTGAGCTTTGACTTGCTGTTTTGCTTTCTAATTGCTATTCCTCATTCCTTGCTAATCTGCTTTTCCTTTGCTGCTCAATGTCTTGCAGTCCTCCTCTTTGCTAGCAGCCCGGCAGGCTTCCGCCGAAGTTCCTACTGCTGCAGACCTTGTCAGTGCAATAGAACAGTTGGTCAAAAGCAAGCTGGTAAGTGGGGGTCCTGGAGGCACTTCTGCCTGTATCTTACCTCCATGTGGCTCCCCGGGGCCTGGCATCTGTCGGCCATGCTCTCCTTTGCACACACCCTCATCCCTCCTACAGCACTGTTTCCAGCTAACGGTGCTTTCTACTATAAAAGCTGTGCCCCAGAGTCCTTTTGATTTTCGTGTGCGATTTTTAAAAAATACATTTTTTTGTTAATTTCAGAGAGGAAGGGAGAGAGATAGAAACATCAATGATGAGAGAGAATTATCCATTGGTTGCCTCCTGCAAGCCCCCTACTAGGGATGAAGCTCCCAACCTGGGCACATGCCCTTGACCGAAATCAAACCCTTCAGTCCACAGGCTGACGCTTTATACACTGAGCCAAACCAGCTAGGGCCCCAGAGTCCTTTTGGACTTTGTTTGGGAGTGGGCACCGGCAATTAACAGGCTCTTTGGGGTTGTGATCTTGATGAAAGGTGAAAAATACTCTAGACAAAATAGCCCCCAGGGGAGTGACATTTGGACAGTGACTGATGTGTGTCTGGTTAGCCCAGAAGCTCACGTTGCTGTCGAGACACAGAACATGGATTGACCTGGGAAAGCACTGAGTAATTTTCTTTGGGGACCGAGGATAGCCTTCTAGCTGGCAAAATCTTACATAAGTAGACTGCTGACTGAGAAGGAGAATGGGCACAAGTATGTGGATACCTCACCACGGGCAATTAAGAGCACTGGTGCCCATCCCGCTCTGAGCCTGAGCTGGTTCAGGGCTGCGGCATCAATGCTGGTGAAAGCGCTCCTTTCTGGGTAGAGCCTCCATGGCTTCACGCTGAGGTGTGCCGGGCAGCATGGCAGTCTGAAGCATTTTCCTTTCCTTTGCTCCCATGTATGTCACTCGGTTTTTATTGCAACTCACATTAGGATAAATGTCCGTGCTCCTGCCAGACTTCTGCTGGGCAGTGCCGTTAATCAGCGCCATTGAAACCAGTCTCCATTGGCCCAGGAATGAGAGGAGAACGATGGATGCTCTCTAGGGAAAGCTGCCCGCCCGATAATCATTTTAATTACAGGAACTCCCTTGTTAAATACCCCAGCTCTGTACCGATGACATTTAATACACGTGAATGTCTTCTTTTCCTTCTAACTTTCCTTCCTAATTAAAAAACAAAACAAAGCTTAGCTGGTGTTTTCAGTAACTAGTGCAGACTCTGGAAGATTGTTCACTTCCCTGCCATCTCTCAGCGTCCCGCTGGTGAGCTGGGTACTCCTGGCGCCTGCACTGACTTGTCAAAGCTCACCTCTCTGACCACTCCTCACTGCTCTCCTTTCCCCGCTACACTCACCCATACACCCTTTTCATTCTCTAAACACCATTTCATTTTTCCCCTTAAAATTCATCCTTTTGCGCTAGCTGGTTTGGCTCAATGGTTTGAGCGCTGGGCCACAGACTAAAGGGTCTCGGGTTTGAATCTGGTCAAGGGGCACGTACCTCGGTTGTAGGCTCGATCTCCAGCCCCAGTCAGGGTGCGTGTGGGAGGCAACCAATCGATGTGTCTCTCTCACATCGAAGTTTCTCTCTCTGTGTCTCCCCCCTCCTTTCCACTCTCTTTTAAAAATCAATGGGAAAAAATATCCTTCAGTGAGGATTAACAAAATCATCCTTTTTTTAATTTTTTTTTTTTTTTTGCATTTTCTCTTTCACCACCTGAGCTGGGCCCTGACCTCATGTCTGGACTATTGCAGTATACATTGCTTGATCTTCCCCCACCCTTCTGCCCCCCTGGCCTCACTCTCCTGTCGGGTCTCCCATAAGGCTGTTTATTGCCTCCCTCCTTGGTGAAGGTTCACAGCCTCCCTCTCACCTATACAGGCAGCCATTTCCAATGCCAGTGCCTTCAGATACACAAGATGCAGGAAGAAGATATTAGCATCTCTTCCCCTCATTATTTTACAATGGTTTTGTGTATGTTTTAATCTGTACATGATGGTATGTAATTTATAAATAAGTTACATGCTTTGGGAATGCATAACCAAAATTGTGCTCACTGATAGAGGTATAGAATCAAAGTTTGGAAATCACTGGCCCGTAGATACTTACCCAGAATCCTAATGTTCTGTTGCCTCCTCTCCAACCTGTCTTTCTAGCATCCACTTGTTTTTCAGGCCGATGAACTCTGAATTGTCTTCTTCACTATCCCCAAGCACACATTTGGCTTTCCTCCCTTGGAGTTGCTGTGCATACCACTCCACTTCTCTGAAATGTTCTCCCTCTTGTGCTTGTCTAAAGCATAATGGTCCTTCAAGGCCCCCTCAAACTTCATCTCTCCTCAAGGGCTTCCTGGACCAGCTCAGGACAGCCCTTAGAACAGTGGTTCTCAACCTTCCTAATTCCACTGCCCTTTAATACAGTTCCTCATGTTGTGGTGACCCCCAACCTTAAAATTATTTTCGTTGCTACTTTATAACTGTAATTTTGCTACTGTTATGAATCGTAATGTAAATATCTGATATGCAGGATGTATTTTCATTGTTACAAATTGAACATAATTAAAGCGTAGTGATTAATCACAAAAACAATATGTAATTATATATGTGTTTTCTGATGGTCTTAGGCGACCCCTGTGAAAGGGTCGTTCCACCCCCAAAGGGGTCTCGACCCACAGGTTGAGAACCGCTGCCTTAGAAGGTCCTGCTGTGCTATGTGTTAAAATCACTGAATCTTCTCATTTGCATCCTACCCCTCCAAGAAGGTGATTTGTCATTGAGGACATTATCCTCTCCTCCATCAATGTGCAGGAGCTTTTTACACTTACATCAGCAAACACTTGTTTTCAAAAGTCTGTATTTTTTCGTATTTTGGATGACCTTTTCCCTACTGCTACAACTCACCTTAGCACTATTAGGAGTCTCTGTTCACCTCCAGTTAGTGTGAGCAGTGGGTTTGGTGTTAAATATGTGAGTTCAGACATTGAAAAGTCCCAAAAGAGCAAACTTCCCAAAGGAGAGGGCATGGAGGCTGGTGGTGGAGTTGACCTAAAGTGGTCTCTCACCGTATCTTTGCATGAATGGCCTTTCTGTGGTGAGTTTCCCATAATAAGGGCTTTAACTTCCACCAATAATTACCTCTTGTGGACCTGCCGTGAGCCCAGAATTACAGAGATTCCTTTGGCTGAACATACAAAACCAAGCTCATGTCAGGGAAAGGGAGGAGGGAGCAGTGGTTTGGTTTCTCAGAATCTTCTCACCAAAATTCAATTCTCCGCCCTCTCCTCTACTTCCTCCGTCTTCCCATCCCCACACATACCCGCCGTGGGGTAGCGATGGAGCCAACAGTGGGCGGTGGTTTCCTCAGCCACATTTTCATCTTCAGGACTTGTATTCCCGCTCTTTTGCTTAGAAGAGGGTAAGACGTGGAGCCTGTAAAAATGTTGAACTTTTTATTTGACTGTAAGTACAACAGTGTGGCCCTGGGCTGGGTAAGGAAGGTACAGTGCACAGATTAAGGGGAGTAGCAGCCCCATGGCATGCAGTGCCCTCAGGCACGCCTGTCCTGAGTTGTGTGTGAGTCATGTATCGGCTTCTGAACCTGGTGTTTCAAAATATTCTTGAACTCGATGGAAGTCACCCCCGAGGAGGTAACCAATACCATGTGGTCCATGTCATTTGAGGGAAAGCTGAAGAAACTGAGTGTAGGTATGGGGAGAAGTTAGGAGAGAGAAGACACAAGAGCTGTGATCTAATAATTGAGCACTGCCCTGGGAAAGGAGGGTTTCTTTCAATGCTTCTTCGCTGCAGAGGGCGGTCCCGGACCTGTGGGTGGAGGTTATCTTAGTTCAACATAAGAAGAACTAATCAGGTGCTTTTCAATGCAGAGCCTGGGAATTTTACGGGAGCGTGTAGTATATGTGGACTTTATGTCTCAGGCTTGAGTTCTGTTTTCGCTGCTTGAGAGATGGCACCCGATTCTGCTCTGAGAATTCACTTGGCCCCCTAGCTCTCCCCAGAGCCACGCTGAGATCCCCGTGTCTGAGTTTCAGGCCCGGAAGAGGCCTGGCTCCCTGTGTGCTCATGGCCCAGGGCTTCCTCCCGATTGTGATCTCTGCTGTTGAGAGCTGCTGCCTGGGAATGAGGGCGGGTGCTCGCTCACCTGCGCGCAGATAAAGCCCCCAACGCCCCCAGTGGCGAGTCTCTGGACATTAATGGGCACTTCTGAGTTCTCTCCTGCCAGCCTTGCTCTTTACCCAGTGCTTTTGTTTACCAAGAGAGGATGCCCACCCACTTCCCCAAACAGAGCTAACATACTTTTCCTAGGTGTTGCTTTAAGGTGTTGTCATTAATTCTGAGGCAGGACTAAGGGCTCCCCCTGCTTTCCCTATGTGGTTTTTAATAAAGCCCTTTCTAGACATGTGGACTGGTGCTGGTGTCAGGTATATAAGGAATCAGAAGACCGTGTGTTAGTCCTGCCTGTGCTACTTATTGTGTAGCCCTGAGCAAGTTACTTAGGCCACTTGGGCTTTGGTTTTATCTCATTTATCAACAGTGCCGGTTCTGTGCACCGGAAACTAATCTCCAAAGTGTCATAATGAGGACTGAGTAAGGTGTGAATGTGCTTTGTAAACTGATAGATAAGCATCCCTCAAACCTTAGCTCTTAGCCAACTCATAGGTGCTGGGAAGGGCAGGACAAGGAAATCTGGGCCTATTTGATCCTCTGTGGCCACACCCTGGGCACAGGGACACAATATTTGTCAGCCAGGATATTGGTGGTTGGGTGACTGTTGCTGGGTGTAATAGCTTAACAATCTGTATGATTTGGTTTTATTCCTCAAGCTTTGAGCAGCAGGGCTTCCTGCCCATGTGTGTCTCTAAACTGCCCCGAGATGCCCCCACCTGCTGGAGAGGAAGGGCTGAGCCTAAAGAAAGCCTCCTCGCTGAGCCCCTGTCGTCAGCAGCACAGCACAATCGTTCCCTGTGGACCCTTGGCTGAGGATCCTCTGCCCTGAGGGAAGGAGCAGCCAGGACTGAGCTCTTGTTCAGTCTGCCTGAGCCTGGCTCCCTGGGACTGTGTCCACCTGCCCGCCCTCTGGGACTCCCGCTTTGATAGCATTCACCTTCCTAGGTCAGCCTTGGTCAGCTGTGGTGGGCACGTAGCATGGGCAGGGCCAGGCTGCACTCGTGGGTGTGCCTGCTCTCCTTCAGATGACCTGGCCTGCTGTGTCAGCTGCAAGGTTGAACAGCAGAAGTTCAGAGTCCAGATGGGAGGAGTAATGGCCCCATGATATCCACAGTGAAGGTGCGTGTCTTCAGGAACTGGCTTCCTGTGATAGCCCTCTCTGGAAAAGATTGTTGAGCTTGTTGAGATAGAAAAGTTTAAATTTCTACCGGAAAATTTTTAACCCAAAGTCCCAAACCTGACATGTCATTTGCCTGAGAAGGCCGGACTTCAGTTTGTCTCCTACCCCCACCCCAACTTGCCTGGGAATGACAGATCTGATACCTTTGTCCAGAGGAGAGTATACACATTTTTATAAAAAGGCGGGGCAGCTAAGAGGTTGGTGTGGTAGGTGGTGCTAGGCCAACACCTTACCTGTGGTTTCATCAGATGAGCTTTGACCTCTCCCAAAGAGTTCCATAGTATATTCAGTAAATTCTGAGGTCCTACTATGTGCCGGCTCTGAGATCAAGCACAGAACCTTCAGTCTAGGGTTATGCTCAGCATCCCCTCCTGCCTGGGCTGTTGCAACTGTTTCCTCTCAATTTCAGGCTCTCTCTTTATGTGGCCGACAGAGGAATCTCTTTTCTTTTTCTCTTAAACTTTTTAATGGTTCTTTCTTACGAATAAAAGTAACGTATACTCATTCAAGAAAAAAAATGGAAAAACGACAAGAGTACAAACAAAGTATAGCATCATTCATAATAGCATCATCTACCAAGCATGTCACACTCACGGCCAGAGGGCCACATGCCTCCTTTAAATAAACAAGGCTGTGGCCCGCCGGCGGAGACTTTGACATGCTTGGTCTAGACATAGTGTTGAACCTTCTCCACTCTCTTTCAGATAATGCAGTCATAGCGTGTATAACATCTAAGGCCTGTTTTCCTTTAGTATCTCATCAGCGACATTTCCCCAAGTCATGAAAAGGAACATTAAGACGGATCTTTCTAAAACTTAAATTCAATGATGTGACTTCCCTGCTCAAAATCCCCCTATCACTGGTGTTAGAAGGTAAAGTCTCTACTTCCTAATGCTCCATATAAGGCTCCCTATGATTGGATCCCCGAATACTTCTCCCGGGTTATCTATTTCATCCCTCACCTCCTCTTTCCCTAGTGCCCACTCACCCCCGCCCCCGCCTCAACTTCACACCCTGCCGCTCGCTCGCTCGAGGCTTCCCAGCCTGCCCGGGGGAGTTGATCCTATTCTCACAGTGCTGTCTGGAATGTCCCCCCATTGGTATATCTTTCTCAGTACTCAGTCCAAGTTGCCTCTTCCATGAAGCCTTTCCCTTTCTCCTCCACCCCACCATAGAGCTGCCTGTGCCTCTTTTCATCCTCCATGGTACCTCTTCTGGAAGACCACCCCTGTGCCTTAGACTATGGAGCGCAGGGAACCATATCTTACTCATCTGTGTTTTTCCAGGACTTTGCAAATAGTCAGTGTGTAGGTACATATTTGCTGAAGTACAAATAAATGATCAGTTACAACACTGTGCCCTGAATGCTGTGCGGGGTGTGTAAAGGGTGGTTATAGGAGCCCGGAGGAAGGGCGTTTTGTGGGTATGTGATCCAAGATCCAGCAGACAGGAAATGTGTTCATTTTTAACATGGGGTAGCCTTCCTCCACATTTAATCTACTTTTAAAACTTCTATTTGCTTTTCTGTTCCCGTCCTTGGACCACTATAGGAGCACCCATTGTGCAACTTTTGTCCCTCCCTCCTTTGTACACCTTTTCCTTTGTCTACTGAGACCGCTGTGACCTCCGCCTGGCGGGGCAGAAGTCCTCCCTGTGGTGGTGCACAGCCCACCACTCATCAACCAGCTGCCTGCGTCCCCCCAGGAGCAGCACAGACAACTGCAAGTCACCGCTAGAGGCCCTGGAGTGGGACCCAGCATCCCAACTCCAGGTAGCTAAGTCCTCAGAAGGAATCACTGTTGAGCCGGTGTAGGTATTTATAGCCAGCGCCATTATTGGAGGCAGATTGCCCAGCCTACAGCTTAGCCAAACCCTTTACTTCCCTCTCCTTCCTCTCTCACAGCTTCTGCCTTCTCCGCTCCATCCCAGAGATAACCTGGGCTTCATGCTCCTGTAGCAGGTCAGGGAGGAGGCGATGGGACCTATTTCTCTGTGTGACACTGTGGACTCCTCAGATGTCCTTCATTCTGTAAGAGTTAGAGTGGACCACATTAAGCTGGATGCTCCACAGGACAGCCTTGTAGGCAGAGATATAAGCCTGTTTCCCAGGCCTTGCAGCCAGCATGCTGCGGCCAACAGGCTGCAGAACAAAGGCTGTAACAGGACAACGGGGAGGGGGAAGGGAAGGGAAAGGCATGTAATCAGATCAATCACCAGCTGGGTCCATCTGCCTGGGAGCTGGTCTCTGGTGATGGCACCAGGGGACTTGTCACATGTCATTGAAAAGCCTGCCTGTCCAGGGCTTGTCAAGCCTCAGCACCAGACACTCATTTCCTTAATAACTGGGTACAGATCCTGAACCTATAAATTTAGCTAAACTCTTCTTGACCTTTCTATATTTTTAGCCTGTGCTGCTTCTCTGGATAACGGTGCCCACGGCGGATTACTTGTTCTATAAAATACCTTCCTGTCAAGTTAAAAGGAATTCTCTTTCTGCAGCTTAGAAACCCTGTCCTCTTAATTCTAGTTTCTATGTTGGTAACAAATTCCAGTTTGGTCCTCAGCACATTCTGTGGATTTGGGGGTCCAGTGGGGGGAAGAAGGTCAACATCTCAACTTCAAGTTTTTCAGCTTCAGGTCTTCATATTCTCCACCTGTCCTCACGCAGTGGCCCTTTGGGACCTCTTCCATTTTTGTTTCATTTTCCTGGACTGTTTCTGCCTCTCTTTGGTCTGTGTTGAGACACAGCCGCTGAGAGAGTTCCTAACAGATGGTCCAAGTGCCTGTTAAGACCACGCCAACGTCTTCTGTTCCTACGACCTTTAGGGACACTTTTTGATCTCTGTGGCTTTCCCCCAAGGGCTGATGTCTTCAGCCTGCTGATGTGAGCCTTTCCTTCCCGCCGCAGTGGTGCTGTGGACAGGCCTGTGGGGAATTGGGACTCATCTCCCATCCTTGTTTGACAGTTGCCCACCCTGACTTTTCCCGTCGTATCATTCCTCCACATTACTTCTGCCAATTTGCAAAATGAAATGCTAAGTGTCCCTGTGTGGTCTTTCCAGGCACTTATGTTCCTCAGAAACCTGTAGAAAGGAGAGTTCTGGGCTGGTCTGCAAGTTGAGGAAAACTGAAGCGTGGAGTAATTTTAGCTTCTCTCCCTGAGGTTGCCCAGGCACCTGCAGATCTGGGATTGGAATCCTTTACCCTTAGCTCTCTCTAGGGTGCCACAGTAATCCCTTGAAAGGCCTCTCATTCCTGTAGCAACTTAATTAAAAGAAATGAAAGGGATTAATAGCTGAAAGAAAGCCCTTGGTAAATAACCTAGAAAAGGTGTGTTTAGAAAAGGCTAAATCTGTTGACTGCTTCAAAAACAATTGTAACTAATTAAACAAACATGATTTTAAACAACTAGTTTTCCTATCACTGCCCTCCCCGTTCATTTGCACTTGATGCTCCTACATCCGATTTTCTTTTCTAACTGCTTGTTTGGTGTAGAATTGGGATGACTAGCTTTACCTCTGGAGCCCTTACCCGAAACAGATCACTTTGACAATTTCATTATGTCACATGTCTGGGAAACAGGCAGGCAGCACCCTCTGACTGCCTGAGAAGGGGCTGCGCTGGGCTCCCTGCTGCAGGAAGATGGGCGTCTCTGGTCTCCTGGGGCCTCACTGGGTCCAGGAAGAACAGCCTCGGCTCGGGCGGGAACACGGGGCCTTCCAGGTGACTTTCAGTGTGCGCTTCTCTAAGGCTGTTCAATCTTCTCTTTCCAGAGCCTAGAAGGAGGCTCATACCGGGGAAGCTTGAAGGACCCAGCGGGCTGCCTGAATGAGGGGATGACCCCGCCCACACCTACGAGAAACCTGGAAGAAGAACAGAAAGCCAAGGCCCTGAGAGGCAGGATGTGAGTGGCTCCCCCAATTCCACCCTGGTGCACGAGTGTGCGGTGGGCGATGGGCAAGGGTCACAGTAGTTTGGCATCCCTTCAAGGGAAGAGATGCCAGGTGCACTAGCAGCACCCAGCCCAGCCCTCTTCCCGAGGCAGCCCTCAGTGTCTCAGCGGACAGTTTAGGATAAAAATATCGCCTGGAGACAGAGTTGGACCTCATCTCCATGGGACCCTTCTAGCGCCCAGTTCCCACTCTAACTTGCCTGTGGGCTTCCTGTGACCACTTTCTTCCAAGCAGTCACTTGGGCTGAGCTAAAGATATATTTAAGTGCTTTTATTTGGCCTTCCGGGTTCCTTCCTGTGGCCTACAACACATGATTGTGTCTCAGAGAGAGGGAGCGGTGGGCGCGCTGGGCGTGCTGATAAAGAAGCATGTGTTCCCTGCTTCCTCCCGTCGCCCGAGGCCCCAGACCCGGAATTTGGTGGCTTCTCTGTGCCGCATAGATGAAGGATTTCAGATGAATTGCTTCCTGGGTTCAGAACGGTTACAACCCTTGTGCTGGGGCCCTTCTTGACATCTCAGAACTTTATCCCTTCTGCTGCTTGGGCCAAAAATGCAGTTGTGTAGCTCCAGGCAAAACTCTTTCACGCTTAGATAATGTGCGTCAGACATCAGCACGCCGCACAGCACCTGGCCTGCGCCAGGGCACAGCCGTCCGAGTCTGAGTCCAGCTCTTGATTGTCTGAACAGAGAGGAGTGTTTGGGGTTGATGCCCTGGGGACCCCTGAGAGCCAGTCCGAGCAGTTTCCCAGGCAGTGGCTACCATGAAAGTGCTCTGCTACTCACGTTGTCCTCTTGGGCAATACTGCCTGAGCCTTCTCGTCTGTATACAGTGGGGCTTACAATCCCTACCTTGTTCTGAGCATGAGAAAACCCCAGTGATGCAACTGGCAAATGCTCCAAGAAGAAATCATGAACAAGAAAGAAACCGAGAAAGCAAATGCCCTTGAAGGTGTTAAATCCTACATCTGCTGGTGGGTCAGGAGGTTGAGCATTCAAAGTTGTGATTCTGGAGAGTCTGCAGTCAGTCTTGCTGGCCTTGACTGGGGATTTTGCAGGCCGGTCACCATGGACACCCACCTGAAGAACTGTGGCTTCTGTATCTCAGAAGCCTCACTTGCTGTCGGTGTCTCCAAGGCCTCAAAAGGGTGGTCATCAGACAAATGTCTTTCTCCTCTTGTGAGGCAAAGAACAGAGCTGAAAAGTCTCACGTTGATCCCTTGGCCTCAAATCTTTCATAACTCAATTAAGCCAAAGTGGTTGTCATTCTTTCTGCCCTTTGTCTATACGGTTGTTCAGTTACACGTGAGGGAGGCAGAAGCACAAAGAATGGGAATAGGAAGGCTGGGTTGTACGTGGCGTTCTTTGTCCGACTGTTGTGTGCTTCCTGGGAAAGCCCTCTCGGCCTCGGTGCCCCCAGCAGTCCAGCGCGGGCCTCTCGTAGAGAGAGAGCACCTGTAAGCCCCTTCCCGAGGGTGCCAAGTGTGGGCTTTGGGGTGGTCTCGCCACCAACGCACCAGAGTCACTTCCCTATGGACTTAAGTGTGAAGATTCCTTGCTTCACGATTAAGAGGAACCTCATTGTTCTTCATCTCCTGCTCAGGTTTGTCCTGAATGAGCTGGTACAGACGGAGAAGGACTATGTCAAGGACCTGGGCGTTGTGGTGGAGGTGAGTGGATGGCTCGGGTGGGTCTGCTCACCCAACCGGGGGCATATTGGGCCCTCGCTGGGCCGAGGTGTTTTCTCTCCGGGTATTTGCAGAAATGAAACTAGAAATGGTAATAGATGAACTTGAATACGCAGGTAAGGCTTTTTTTTTTTCTTTTCCCCTTGAATATTGTAAGAGATCTAGAGGGAGGTAAGGCCCTAAATGTTGCAGCTTCTTGGTTAGAACTGAGCCTCTCACCTTGTTTTAGGTGACTTTTTGTCTCAGAGCTTTTCACTGGTGTTCAACCACGTGGACATCTATTCTTCAGAGCCGTGAGCCACCGTGACCTGCACTAAAAAGGTCACTCCTAGTGATGCCTTGGGGCTTCTCTGTGTTCTTAGATTTTAAGGAGAATATTATGACTACCAAGAAGATGGACAAAGAAAAAACCACCAATCAGGCAAGATTGGCAGGTCCACAGTTCAGAGTTAGCTTGGCAGTAAATAAAACAGCTCTTTCTCCATAGGGGTTTACCTTAGGGGGATTTAGACACTTGGATGAGAAAGTCAAAGAAAGTACATGGATAATTTAGATGGCTTAGAGCCCTGTGGCTAAACATCTTGAACAAATCATGTGAATGCTAAACACCGAATGTCTGCTACCTACATCCCCTGCCGGTGCCTCACATTGGACCTGTAAGTCCCCATCCTGTGAGATCTGCTGACTTAGGGTTTGTATTGCTTATCCTGAACCTTGGATAAACAAACTAGCCTGGCGTGCAAAGGACCTGAATTCTGACTTATGGGAAGTTACTCTCTTCTCCAAGGAAGGATGGGGCAGGCAGGGGGGCAGCAGCCTGCACCTGCAGTCAGCCCAGGAGTGAGGGGCTCGGGAATATGGAGGCTGAGCTGCTGGGCAGTCAAATGTCGGTGGTGCGACTGTAAGACAGAACACTGACTCCCCAGTGTCTCAGCTTCTCATCTGTCAGACGGGGTACATGCTGCCTATGCAACCTCAAAGCCTGACTTAAAAGCTAAAGTGAGATTATACATGACTAGAGGCCCGGTGCATGAAATTTGGTAAACCGGCAGTTGGACATCCCTCTGGCAATCTGGGACCACTGGCTCCTAACCACTTGTCTGCCTGCCTGCCTGATTGTCCCTGTCTCTGCTTGCCTGCCTGGTTACCCCCTAACTGCCCCCCTGCCTGCCTGGCCACCCTCTAACTGCCCCCCTGCCAGCCTGGCCGCCCCCTAACTGGTCCCCTGCTGGCCTGGTCATCCCCTAACTGTCCCCCTGCCTGCCAGGTCACCCCCTAACTGCCCCCCTGCTGGCCTGGTCACTCCCTAACTGCCCCCCTGACGGCCTGATCCCCCCTAACTACCCTCCTGCCGGCCTGGATCCCCCCTAACTACCCTCCTGCCAGCCTGGATGCCCCTTAACTGCCCCCCTGCCAGCCTGGTTGCCCCCTAACTGGCCCCCTGCTGGCCTGGTCCCCCCTAACTACTCCCCTGCTGGCCTGGTCACCCCCTAACTGCTCCCCTGCTGGCCTGCCCCCCCAACTACCTCCCTGCTGGCTTGGTCCTCCCTAACTACCCTCCTGCCAGCCTGGTTACCTCCTAACTGTCCTGAAGGAAGTCAGACGTCTGGAAGATGTCCGGTTGACCCAGTCTAATTAGAATATTACTCTTTTATTAGTATAGATAGCCCTTTATAGACTCTTAAGTATTAACACAGTGAGACTTATTTCTAGGCCAGATATGTCTAGTTCTGAGCCTTTAAAGACATAGACCTCAGATTGGGAGAAGAAAGAGGGGCAGGTGACTTCTTCTTTGTTCTGCTTTCTTAGAAATTCACAGAAGTTTTGTGTCTCACTCTGCACAAGGGTGAAGTCCTGGTTGAATAGTGAGAAACCACAGGGGCACTTGCCCTCAAGCTCCTGCAGAAAGGGCTGCAGTGTGGTGCTCACCCAGAAAGCTCTCTCGGAAAAACTGCTGAGCTCCTCATTGCCTCTGCCCACAGGGCTTCATGAAGAGGATAGAAGAAAAGGGTGTCCCTGAGGACATGCGAGGGAAGGACAAAATCGTGTTTGGAAACATTCACCAGATTTATGATTGGCATAAGGAGTAAGTACTACATCATCCTGGGGATCCGGGCGTCCTAGAATCCAGGTCTCTCCCACCCTCATCCCACATCTGACCTTAGGGCCAGGGTTTGGGGAGAGATTTCCGTCATTTACCTCAGCCTTGAGAAGTTACACAGTGCTGAAGAATGTGGCTTCCTTTTTTAAAAAAATTTATTTCATTGTTAAGGTATTACAAATAGTAGTACATATGTCTCCTTTTTTCTTTTTCCCCATTGACCTCCCCCTGGCCCCCGGCACTTGCCCTCACACTCCCACCCCCAGTGTCTTGCATCCATTGGTTGTGCTTATATGCATGCATACAAGTCCTTCGGTTGATCTCTTAGCCCCCAACCCTCCCCGGCCTTCCCACTGTAGTTTCACAGTCTGTTCGATGCTTCTTTGCCTCTGTATCTATTTTTGTTCAACAGTTTATAATGTTCTTTATATTTGTGGCTTCCTTCTTTTATCCCCTCCCTCCTTTTAGTTTTTTCCTGGCCGAGCTGGAAAAATGTATCCAGGAGCAAGACAGATTGGCCCAGCTCTTCATTAAACACGTGAGTGTTTCCTGCGCCTTCTTCCCCTCCCCTTACACCAGCCTCACTTCTATGCATTTTTATTTTTTTAATTATTTAAATATGTTTTTATTGATTTCAGAGAGGAAGGGAAAGGGAGAGAGAGATAGAAACATCAATGATAAAAGAGAACCATTGATTAGCTGCCTCCTGCACACCCTCCCACTGGGGATCAAGCCTGCAACCCAGGCATGTGCCCTGACTGGAAATCAAACCATGACCTCCTGGTTCATGGGTCGATGCTCAACCACTGAGCCACACGGGCCAGGCAACTTCCATGCATTCTTAAATCCCTCTCTCTGTGGCTATTCCTCTTCACCTTTCTCTGAGTTGTTTCATTGTCTGGGCAGTTTGGACGATGGGCTCTTGCCACTCCATTCCCTCCTCTGCCCTTGATCTGCCATTGCCCTGGTGCATCCCCAGAGTGGGGACCGTGTGTTTGTCCCCCGGCGTGTAGCCCGGCACAGCGCTCTTAGACTCAGGTTCCGCGTGAGGCGGGAAGGGTGTCTGAGCGCCTGCCTCTGCTCTTGCAGGAGCGGAAACTGCACATCTACGTGTGGTACTGCCAGAACAAGCCACGCTCCGAGTACATCGTGGCCGAGTACGACGCCTACTTCGAAGTAAGCTGCACCGGCTTTGCTGGTTGGAGGGGTAGGGGGGAGAAATTCAGGCCGAGACAGCCGCATTCAGAAACAGCAGCCATCATCCAAGACAGGGACCGCTGCCTCGACACAGCCGTGAGCTTCTTAGCTCAATTCCCAGGAGCCCCCTTGCTTGGGAGGAGCTGGGGGCCTGAGCCTATGGACTGCATTCAGAGGCCTCCGTGCTCAGAGTGATTGTGGTGCAGAGGCTGCTTCCAAAGCCGAAGCTCGGGCCTCCTCCTCGGGGCCCCAGGGCAGACTGTGCCCACACTGCCCTGCACCAGCCCTGGAGACTGCCTGCTGAGGGCCCCCACCTTGGTGAGGTGCTCGCAGTCACCTCAGAGTCTCAGCTTCCGTCCCCAGAGGTTCTGTCAAGCACCCGAAAATGTTTGCTCTGCCCCAGCCTGGAAGAGAGGCAGCCATCACTTGGGAAGAGCGTTTGCAGATCTGAGTTGAGGGCCCCAGGCTTGTGTCCTAGGAGAAGCCCTTCATTCCCCTGGGCCCTGGAGCAGGAGGGAGAACAGAATACCCATTCCTGCTCATCCCCCGGACCTGGGCCAGGACACAGGCTATGACAGGGATAGACAGGCAGAGGGTAATGATGTGTGTTCTGTTATTAAGAACAATTTAGCAGTAGTGTAGGCAGTTCTGCCTCTTGCGTGGTTTGAAGATTCTGAAACTTTAGTGGCAAGCATGACGGCCTGTCTTCCTGGCCTTGAACCCTGACCTAGAATACCCCAAGTCTGTGGTTCCTTTTTTTTTTCTAATACCACTTCCCTTGTGTTCCAGGAGGTGAAACAGGAGATAAATCAAAGGCTGACGCTTAGCGACTTCCTTATCAAGCCCATTCAGAGAATAACAAAATATCAGCTGCTTCTCAAGGTAAGAGAGCTGGGAGCCTGGGTCAAGGCCAGGGAAGGGTCTTCATGGCTCTGAGTTAGCAGACAGGTTAGCTGTGGTTCTGTCTCCACCACACTATTCCATGGACTCGGGGGGGCACATGTGGGCTTCTATCTTAGCTGGCGGTTACTTGTGTCTGCTTTGCTCCCAAGTAGATTGTATGCCTGTTGTTCCTGCCTTTAAGGTTGATTAATTCATTTTCTTTTTTTTTTTCAATGTCTTACTTTGTCACCATCACTGACTTGGTACCTTTAAGAAATTAAAAAATAACAAGAGCATAAAATCAAAGTGGAATACAGGTGAAAGGAAAGGCCCTAGAAACCTTAGATGAGTAACACCTAAAATTTGATCATGTTTTACTTTTTGTAATGGTTTAATTTGATTTATCTTACAGAGAAGGAGGTACACGGTAGAGACTTAACTTCCCTTCCTCCCTCCCTTTCCTCAGAGTGTTGAATTTTTGCGTATACTGGGGCTTCTCTGTGATACATGTACAATATGACTCATAGCCTCATATCCCAGCTACTACACAGCATCACCATCTCTATGGGGAAGGAATGTCTCTAGGTGTTGCCACAGTGTCTGTGATGCTGTGTTTTTATAGCTCTGACTATTTCCCTAACTGATTTTACTTTCTCATACCCTTTCCCGCCTCCCGACCTACTAGGACTTCCTGAGATACAGCGAGAAGGCGGGTTTGGAGTGTTCAGAGATCGAGGTGAGTTTCCTGCTTGTGATGCTGATTGTTGTAGGGACGACTGTTGGGTTTCTGTCTCTAAAGGAGAAAGATTGGCTCTGGAGACCGAGGGTCCAGGCTGGCTCCTCTAAGACAGTAAGAGACCCTGGCAAACAGCTGCTGAGCAGGATGCGGAACAGCGAGTATTAATTCACACACGGAGTTAATCCTGTCCTGGGCCAGGTCAGAGCTTAGCCCCACTGGTGTTCTGCTGTGGCCCCCAGGGACACGTGGTGGAAGGGATGGTATGTGAGGCCTCTGACATCCTTCAGAGACTGGCTGTTTCAGTGTGCAGCTTTATCCATGAACCCGGCGGGTACTATTTGAGTCTAACATACAAAGTATTTTGTTTTCACTCCCTTCCCACCCCCAAAGATTATTCCTTAAGCGAAGTCCTTTGAGACGGTGTCACCATGGGGATTGTTTTAAGCCAGACCATTCTGGAAGGTTATTTTAGGTTAAAACCTCCAGTGTTTCACAAGCCAGGCTAAGCTGTTGCTTGGGCAGCTAGAAAACAACAGAGAGAAGAAAGAACATATAAGAAGGAGAGGGAATTGATAACCAAAAGTGGGAAGGTAGGAAAAGGGTGGGCTGGGCAGCATTCTCCCCACACGTGGTCACTGATTCACGTGTAGCCCCTGCACTGGTGACCAGCAACTTCCCCCTCCCACCTCTCACCCCCAAGAACAGACAATCTCGGAGTCCTCCAGGACCAGTGTCCTTTCCTAGAATCAAGGAACTATCAGGAGGTCCCTGCCTTCCAGCATGAAATTGCCCTGAGCTTCCCGTTACCCCTCCTGAGCTGCTGTTTTTCTTTTCGACAGAAAGCAGTGGAGTTAATGTGCCTTGTTCCAAAACGCTGCAATGACATGATGAATCTGGGACGCCTGCAGGGCTTTGAGGTGAGCCCCCAAGAATGCGCCTAAGCTCTCTCACTGGGCCTCAGGAGCCCCGGGGGAGGCGGCTTCCTTTGAAGTCCTGTGCCCGCCTCCTCTGCCTCCTTTGCCCCATCTACTCCTCTATGCCCGCCTGGCCTCTCTGGTGCACAGGCCTCGATGCCTCATCTGTGTAGGATACCCAGTGACAGCACAGTCATAGAAAGTCACAGCAGTCACCCGAGCTGGAGTCAGAATTCTAGGAGGGTTGGAAAGACCCCACATTGTTTATCACTGTGGACCTGGCACTGGCCTCTTCCCTCTTCTCCTGCGTGAGGCTTTCGAGCTGTGTGAGGGGAGCAGCCTCTGTGATGGGAATAGAACCAGGGGAAAGTGGAGCACTTTTTGAGAGGGTGGCTCTAATTGACAGGTCTACCTAGTGGCTCGGTTAAACAAACACTCAAAGCTCTAAGACATCAGAGTGCACACTTCTGTTCTTTAAAGAGGAGAATCAAATTTTAGGACAGACAGCTAGGATTTTGGTTACAGACAGTGGACTAGCCTAATCGGACTGCCATGACAAAGTACCACAGTGTGGTGGCTTCAACAACAGAACATCCTTGCAAACAGCCGTTGAGCAGGATGAGGAGAGGCGAGTATTAATTAACCCATGGAGTGTTTTTCTAGAACTCGAGAATCCTGTTCAACTCATTTCTATCAACTCATTTCTAGAAGCTAGAATTCCAAACTCAAGGTCAAGGAAGGTGGTTTCTTCTGAGGAAGGGTTCTGTCCAGGCCTCTCTCCTTGGCTTGTAGATGGCCGCCTTCATGTGCACATGGCATTCTCCCTGTATCTTCACATCATCTGCCTTCTGTGTCCTAATTTCCTCTTTTTATAAGGACACCCATCATCCTCGAATAGGAATCACCGTAATGGCCACACATTAACTTTTTAAGGACCCTACCTCCCAATAGGGTCCCATTCTGAAGTCTGGGGGTTATGGCTTCAACATGTGACTTGTGGGGGATATAATTCAACCATAACAGTGAACCTTTAAAGAGCAAATTGATTTTTCTAATTTAACTTACTAAGTGGCTGTTGTTAGCTTATACCCAAACATTATATATTAACGAAACATAATCTGTTGAGTATCAGTATGGTAACATTGGAACGGACACAGTTATTGACTGGTACGTAGTTGTTGAGCGCTATAGAGAGAGAGGTGAATCTTCCGGTCCTGTTTCCCGGTAATCCTGTCATCTAAGATTTCATTATTCCTTTTTTGGAGAAAAGGGAAGATTTCTGAAAGTTGACATAATTAAGAAAGTAATAGCCTTTTTTCTTCTGGCTAAATTAAAAGAGGTAGACTAGACTAGATATAAGGCGGACTGGCCCATAAGTAAATTTCAGAGATGCTATATTCAGCTTTGGGTTCTTGAGTTGGATCCATGGTGTTCTTGAGTCAAATTCTTGTGTCCTCCTTGCCCTTCCATCCCATCCTGGTGTCCCTGCTTTGTTGTGTCCAGGAAGTATGTGGAGGGTCTTCTTTGCTGTTCTTTTTGATAGGTTCCCAGTTGTCCCCAGTAGACCTAGGAGGAGAGTAAGAGGGATACACAGCAGCAGCATATCTGACTTCTTACACAGTGCTTCTTTAGTCATCCTAGGTGAAGTTTATACCTTTTCCCTTGGGGTTATGCCAGGGCTGAGACTATTCTGAACAAGGCAAATAACTCCTTTTGCTCTTAAACCTTGATGGCCCATGTTTTCTGAGCAAGAGTCTGGCTTGACTTTCCCTTGGTCTCTGACAAGAGGATCAGCATCTGATTTGCTGCCTGATTCACATCAGACTTCACAGGAACTGTGCCCTGACCGGGAATTGAACCGGCCACCTTTTGGTGCACAGGTCGATGCTCAACCAACTGAGCCACACTGGCCAAGGCAATTATTCTCTCTTTTAAATCAAGTACCACTATCTGCTTTTTTCCTCAAGCCCCAGAGAATCTGCTTTGCATTCCTTCAGCTAATTGGAAAGGATCATGAACATATTTCCATTCCTTCTGAAGTCCATGGCTTTGGGCCAGGGAGGAGGTAGCCCCTTCACTTAGATTCCCTCCCTTTTAAATCCTAGCTTTCCCGTGAGCATCGGCAGGGCTGTAACTTATGGCTCAGGCTTTTGTGTCGTATTAATAGAGCTTTTAGAGCTTTCCTGGCTTGCTAGTCACCAGCTTAATATTAACTTTGGACCAGGGTAGAGATAAGCCTGTTTGGCTGATGACCTTGACAATGAGGAGCCGTGATCCAAGCAGAGGGAAGGTGTTTCTCAGGAACATGAAAGGAAGATGAAAGCCCTGGCCATGTAGCTCAGTTGAGTAGAGCACCGTCCTGATACACCAAGGTTGCAGGTTCAATCCCAGTCAGGGCACATACAAGAATCAACCAATTGATGTTGGTTGGCTCTAGGCACAGTTCCTGTGAAGTCTGACGTGAATCAGGCAGCGAATCAGATACTGATCCTCTTGTCAATGGTCTCTTCAGAGACCAACAAATGGAACAACAAATTGATGTTTCTCTTACTCTCTATTTCCCTCTCTCCCTTTCTCTCTTCCTCCCTCCTTCCACTATCTCAAGAAATTAATGGAAAAAAAATATCCTCAGGTAAGGATTAACAACAAAAAAAGAAGGATCACAGGCCCTGGCCTGTGTGGTTCAGTTGGTTGGACATTGTCTTGTGCACTGAAAGGTTGACAGTTCAATTCCCAGTCAGGGCACATATACAGGTTGCAGGTTCAACCCCCAGTGGGGGGCATGCAGGAGGCAGCCAATCGATATCTTGCTCTCACAATGATGTTTCTCTCTCTCCCGCTCCCTTCCTCTCTCTCAAAATCAATTTTTAAAAAAGGATTATGGATCCAAAAAACATACCTACCAGCTTATAAAATTTGGGCATAAATCTAGGGGACTCAAACTTTACCTGTCAGCCTGTAGGAGCCTAAGACTTCAGAATTTCCTCCATTTTGAAATAATAGAAGATAAGAGGGGCCCAATGCATCAGATTAGGTGTGGTTGTGCCTACATCACTTCTACTGGCCACGGTTAGCTCTAGGCTCCTGGCCACTAGAGGACTCCAGGTCCTTGGCCCATGCTGCAAGGGAGCCAGGCAGGCACACTTCTCAGAACTTCAGGCACGGAAAGGTCACTTTGAGCTCCAAGTGTCACTTCCTTTCTATTTTCCTTCTAATAAAACATAAGAAGGGCCAGTGTCATTTCTGAACATCTCTTTAGTTAATAATCTTACCTTCCTTCTGGCATTACCCTTAGGCTGCTTCTTAGTAGTTCTGTAGCCTCCTTTCCCTTTCCGTTTCTCTTCACAGCCCTTGTGGCTGCCCCAGATGAATGGGCCGGTCCTGATTCAGTCTCTTATTAAGCCCATGGGGTTTGGGTATCACATCTGCTGTCCCTGTCCATAGAGGGGAGAATCTGTGGACCCCAAGGGCTGTGGTGGTCTCCCCGTTTTTCATTTGCTTCACCCCAGCCCTTCTCTCCCTCAGGGCACACTGACTGCTCAGGGGAAACTGCTGCAGCAGGACACGTTCTACGTGATTGAGCTGGATGCAGGCATGCAGTCCCGGACCAAGGAGAGGCGTGTGTTCCTCTTCGAGCAAATTGTCATCTTCAGCGAACTGCTCAGGAAGGGCTCTGTCACCCCGGGCTACATGTTCAAAAGGAGTATCAAGGTGAGGATCCCATGGGGGTGAGAAGGGACGAAGAAGGGCCAAATTTGGGGGAGCTGCTTTCCTAAGACAGAGGCATGGAATGAGTCAGGATCCTAAACATTGAAGATCTTTCAGCCTCCTCACCTTTCGGGCATGAAGGTTGAGCATCTGTGGGAAAAAGTGACAGAGACTAAAGTACTTAGCTGTTGGATCCAGGGCCAAATTTTGGAAACACCTCCTGAAATAGAAACTTCGCGGAACTGTGATACGTTGTTGATTTTTATTAAACTGCTTACATATGAACAGATCACCTTGGTGTCTTTCAGATGAATCACTTGGTCCTGGAGGAGGACGTGGACCGTGACCCCTGCAAGTTTGCGCTCATGAACAGGGAGACTTCGGAGAGGGTCATTCTGCAAGCTGCCAACGCTGACATCCAGCAGGCCTGGGTGCAGGACATCAGCCAAGTCTTAGAAACACAGCGAGACTTCTTAAATGGTGGGTCCTGGGCCTGGCTTCTAGCAGGGCAATTTCATGGCATCCCACACCCCTGAGCTTCCTTGGGTCTGGGCTTATGGTGAGTTCTGAGCCCAGATCACGTTTTATATGGAGTTCAACTTAGTTTTCAGAAACACTTTGTTCAGAATTTTTCTAATTAGCATCAGAACCTGAATGCGCAAGGGAAACAGATGGAGCATTATAAAGAAGCCCCGTCTCTCTGAGGGCAGGGATCCTCCCTTATAGCCAATACATAGGTGCCTCGTGGCCACCATTACCAGCTGGTCATAATTGGGGCAAAAGTCAGAGGCAGGCACCACCTCTTTCCCTGAGGGGCCGACATCAGTGACATGTGTCTTCCCCTTTGGTGGCCAATAGCTGGTATGCTCACAGGTTCTCCAGTGTTATCGAGAGACTAGGAATTTGGCAGATCAGTTCAAATGCCCCTTCTGCTCCCAAGAGTGTGAGAGCCTGGACAAGTCCTCTCTTCCAATGAGAGGTGATCACACTCAAAATTTCAGTAATACCTTGAACTTCCTAGAACAGATTGATGACGCAGAGAATGTAGCTCTCTGTGGACCTTGCAGGAGTGCCCCTAATGGGCTGTGTGGTCTGGAATGAAGTGGAGCTGCTATCTTATTTACATCATTTTATTTGTTTTCCCTGCGGGGATCTTCTTCACGTTGAGCTTGGTGTGGGAAAGGAAGTATACAGGGTTAAACTAGTGGTAATCTGTGCAGTTATGAGCTTAGATGTCTCTCTGAGCAGAAATGGAGCTTGAAGATGAAGACAAAATATAACCGGTAACAAAGCAAGTCTGGAGACTCAGCAAGCACATAGGGCTGTATGTGCATACGCATACACACACACACACACACACACACACACACACACACACCCCTCCCTCCACTGTGTCACCTCCTTGCCAGCACCACAATCTGGAACCTGTCAAACGATGCAAATGGAGCATTTGTCGATGTCTAGCATGGGCCTGAGTGCTGTGGGGAAAGGTTAAAGGTTACACACTAGTTGAGGACCTTTCCTTGGACCTCAGTTAGCTCATTTTGTGAAAAGGAGAAACAGTGTGCTTTGCCCACACTGGCATGTGCCATGGCGTGCCAGCCACCCTGGAAATAGGAAAACATGGCACACCTCCCTGCAGTATCAGTTTTACTCCATGATAAGAGGTTTAACACATTGTGTTTATTTTAAAACAAATAAAAAAATTATATCGAAGGATGCCGTGACTTCTTGAGATAGAGCATGGGACTTCAAAGCAGTTTCACACTTACAGGAAGTCTTTCTGGGTCATGTCCCCTGGTCCCCCAACTATAGAATACCTTAGGGGGAAAATTAAGTGATCTCTAGGTTTATTTTCATTCTAAAAAGTCTAAAATTAAACACCAGCCTAGCCCTGAGGAATAGTAATGAAAGTTGTATATAATTTACAGTGTCTGAATATACAACTTTGAATTAACACTTATGCTGATAAAATAACTTTATACAAATAATATGTGCATATATAAAATACATTTATTAAATTTCACTCTATCAGGAATTTCTGATAGAGTCTAAGCTGGAATGAGGTTTCTACATTCATTAATTCAGGACAAAAGAAAAATAAGGGAGGAGAATAAAATTGAAACCAGAAATAATTGAAATAGCGGCTGCCATTCTTTCTCTGTGCCAGGCACCATGCTAAGCATTTCACATGTATTATCACATTTAATCCTCACATCAACATGGAAAGGTAAGTACTGTCATCATATATTCTTAAGGTGAGGAAAAGAGGCTCAGAGAGGTTAAGAAACTTGTCCAAAGTCACAAAGACAAGGACTTGAACCCAGAACTGTATAACCTAAAATTAGGTTCTTAACCACAAAACTGCAGTAGAGTTGCTAGTGTAGAACACACATTTATATGTGAGCTCCCTCACCAACAAAGCAAAGAAAGAAACAGGATCAGGTATAAGCACTATATCCACCAGCCAGAAACAAACCCTGTCCGTAGATGCACAGCTTTCCCCATCCAAAGGCCTAAGTTATGCACATTGAGGCTGGTGGCAGAACACTGGCTCTGGAGGTGGCTTATTTAAGAACTAGAGGCCCGTTGCATCAAGATTCGCGCAATAGGCCTTCCTTCCCCTGGCTGCCGGCACAGGTTTTCCTCCAGCACCCGGGACCCAGGCCTTTGGTCCGGCTGCAGCAGCGAGGCTTGGCTTCTCCGCTCCAGCTGCAGCGGAGAAGCCAAGCCTCTTCAGTCTTCAGTCGTCTTCAGTCTTCAGTCTTCAGTCGTCTTCAGTCTTCGCTCCTCGCCTGCATAAGCAAATTAATCCATCTTTGTTGGATTAATTTGCATACTCATCCTGATTGGCTGGTGGGCATAGCAGAGTGACACCAATTTGCATGTTTCTCTTTTATTAGTGTAGATATAGACTCGATTCAAACATTTGAGCACCCCAACTCCATGTAGCAGGTATTGCTTTGGGAGGGCAGTCTGACAGGGCCTGCTTCACAACTCGACTTAAGTCTCTCTACATAAAGCATAGAACTGCATTTCTTTGAGCAGTCAGTGATTCAGACTTTGCCCTGGTTCCAAGAGACTTGTCTCCTAATGTTAGTGGATTATGGAACTATTGCTGGGCCAGATTATAGACACCTCAGTGTCTAAGCCCACAGAGCTCTCTCCAGGGAGAAAGGCCGGGCTCCGGCAGAGCCTGCTCTGTACTTGGACACACTCGGGAGACAAGGATGTGACGATGGCCGAGGGCCAGGCCTGCTTACAGAGTCCTGTGCGGGCATCTCAGAGCCCGTCTTTCCCTCCTGAGACTGCAAATAGGAAGGCAATGTGGCCAATGTTGGGTCCTGGTGAAGTTCATACCGATCACTATAGAAATGCTCCAATAATGGGAAGTTCTCTGGGCCCCAGCTGGTAACCCATGGAAGTATTTGTTACAGCAAATACTGATAAAACCAGCATTATCTGGCCAGTCCTTGATGTCGTCATTACAGAGTTTGACCTCGGTGGCCTTTGACTGGCTGTACCTCTTTAGGACTCAGACCTTGGAACTTTGTTATCTTAAACTCAGTGAAACAAAGCCCACGTCATTTCTTTCAAATCAGCTTTTCCTCTGTCTCCTTGACAACCCTTCTTCCAGTCTCCAAACCAGTGTGACCCTCGATTCTTGCCTTCTTTACCCCCTAGGCGGGGTCGGAGTCTAGTCTGCCTTCAGAACACTTGCCACACGAATCCCTTCCACATGCCCACTGCTACTGCTTGAGTTGGGCCTCTTGCTTGTTTCTGTCTCAGCCTCTCCAATCTGTCCTCCCAACTGCTTCAAGGTTAATGTCCTCCAAGCCTGGCTGTGGTGAGAGAGTCTGAATTTAAAATGTTCACATTCATGAATCCACTCACTTTTCATGATCTTCAGAATCAAATCCAGACTCATGGGCCTTGGCTTTCTAGGTCGTTCACACATGGCACCTCTGCCTCCCCCACCTGCTTCACCTCCTCTTCCATGGAGACCCATGGCCCAGTGCTCCACGTAATGGTTCCATCCTGTTCCCCAGGCACACGCCACACTTGCTTCCTTCCTGCAGAGCCTGCACGGCACAGCCTGACAGCCGGACCTCCTCTGAAGTTCTTTATCGCCACCACCTGTACACAGGCACCCACACCACACACTCCCTCCTTTCGCACAACACTTTGCACCTCACCTACAGCAACTACTTGGGCTTTGTATTTTCATTATTCAGGAAGGTTTCTTAGTTCTCACTGTAAATAAGTTCCTTAACAACAAGGGTAGTGTCTTCCTCCTGTATCCCCATTGTGCCTGGCATGGAGCCCTTACCTAAGAAGCTCCCAAACCCTGTGGGATCCCCAGAGCTCAGAGTAACTGTCGCTCTTCTCTGCAGCACTGCAGTCGCCCATTGAGTACCAGCGGAAGGAGAGGAGCTCGGCCGTGATGAGGGCCCCGCCTGCCAGGACTCCCCAGGCCAGCCCACGGCCCTACTCTTCCATCCCTGTGGGCTCTGAGAAGCCCCCAAAGGGCTCCAGCTATAACCCGCCTCTGCCACCCCTGAAGATATCTACCTCCAATGGCAGTCCAGGGTTTGACTACCACCAGCCTGGAGACAAGTTTGAGGCCAGCAAGGTAAGTGACAGCCCATGGGTCCCATCCTTGCCAACCTGAGGGCATGGCCTCAGGGCTCACTGTAGGAAGTAGCATCTTTTTGTGCTGATCATTTGAGCAGGAACAGCCCACTAGATACAGACTAGTCTCAATTATTCTTTCTTCTCTGCAAGTTGAGTGTGTTAGATCAGTTCCCTCTGGCTCAGAAACTGTGTTCAAGAGCAGTAGTCATCAGCAGAAACTCCATAAAAGTGTAAGGTGTTACCATAGTCGCAATTATGAAAACAGGTGATTTACACCAAATAAAGAGTTGTGGTGTAGGTGATCTAAAAGGCACCACTCTGGTGTTTGACATTTTAAAGACATTGCCTTTTCTAATGATGAGCTGCCGAAGTGACTCACAGTTCTTCACCACCCACTGGTTAATGTGGCAAGAAGTCACTCGTGTGTGTGAATGGGGAAGCCAGTCTTGGATTAAACACTTATCATTGATAATCCATCATGCAGACATCACCATGAGGACAGCCACAGACATAAGTGTAGACTCAGTCTACACAGTTCCTTTCATCCCACCAGGTAGTAGGAGCAAGAGAACAAATAGGAAAGATGAGGAATTAGGGAATCTGGTTTCCATTCCAATTCTGCAACTCACTTGCTCTAGAACCTCAGCAAGTTAGTGAATCAGATTAGGCCTCAGTTTCCTCTAAAACTCAGTGGGTCGGTGAATAGGAACATTTTGGTATACATGTTCTGATTTTATTCTTTTTACCTAAATTATCCTATAAAGAGGTAATTTGCAAATTGACTGTCACACCCTTGCACAAGATGGCTGGCAGGGAAGGGCAGTTGGGGGTGACCAGGCCATCAGGGGAGGGCAGTTGGGGGTGACCAGGCCGGCAGTGGGGGCAGTTTGGGGCAACCGGGCTGGCAGGGGAGGGCAGTTGGGGGTGATCGGGCTGGCAGGGGAGTGGCTAGCTAGGGGGTGATCAGGCTGGCAGGCAGAAGCAGTTAGGGGCAATCAGGCAGGCAGGCAAGTGGTTGGGAACCAAAAGTCCCACATTATGAGAGGGATGTCCCAGATTGGAGAGGGTGCAGGCTGGGCTGAGGGACACCCCCCCCCCCCAGTGCACAAATTTTGTGCACCGGGCCTCTAGTTAGATGACACTGATGTTTTTTTTTAATTAACAGTGTCTGACTTCAGTTCTGTATTAGAGTAACTGTACCGATCTATTTTATCACATCACCTAGAAATGATGTTCCATCTTAAAACCCCTGCTCTTGTGCATAAGTTGAAGTCACATTGGCATTTTGTCAAGCTTTTTGAAGAATTTCTGGCTCTCACCATGCTCTGTGAGGCAGCCAGGCCTCCCTGGGACTTACAGGTCTGTCTAGAAGCAGCTTCCCTGGTGGAGAGCCATGTGAAAAGGCCACAGAGGCAGGGCCTCTGCATAAATGAGAATAGGGGAAACTGGAGGAGTTCTGTCCCCACAGGAATTGGGGCAGGATAGGTCATGACCTTGCCTTTGAATTGGGCAAATGGCTCATTGTTACTCCTGTCTCAAGGAGGGTCAGAATGTAGGAACAGAGTAAGACCAATGTTTTTTCAAAAGGAAGAAAAAAGTGTATCAAAGGGTCTGTGTTCTTTCCACTTGGGGTTATGACCTCTAGCTTGACCTTTGCCCTGACCTCACTTTGCCCAGTTGCTCATGGACCCCTGTGCCACTACCATGCTTTTCCTTCCATTAATCAGAAGACGTAGTCAGGAAGGTTGCATGCTAGGGAGGGGCTTGCAGGTGGAAGGTGTGTTTACATCTTTACCTAGGCCAGCAGTATCTCTACCTGTTCACCCTCGGTTATACAAGGTGTCCCCCCAAAAATACATACACACTTTAACACCTGATTGCTCAACTTTGAAAATGAAATTTATTTTAATAAATACTGCCTTTATAATTATTCAAAGTGTGTGTATACATTTTTGGGGGGACACCCTATATGTTGTATGAAACAAGACTATGTTTATGAATATAATGTCATTACTCAAAATCATCTTCCCCTGCTAGTGGGAGGGTGGGCTTTTACCCACACGGGATGCAGAGCAGGCCGTGTGCCCCAGCCTTCTTGTATCTGGGTCCCTCTCGCCCTGTCTCCCAGCAGAGCGACCTGGGAGGCTGCAATGGGACCTCGTCCATGGCCGTGATCAAAGATTACTATGCACTGAAGGAGAATGAAATCTGTGTGAGCCAAGGTGAGGTGGTCCAGGTCCTCGCCGTCAACCAGCAGAACATGTGCCTGGTGTACCAGCCTGCCAGCGACCACTCGCCCGCGGCCGAGGGCTGGGTCCCGGGCAGCATCCTGGCGCCCCTCACCAAAGCCACGGCGGCGGCAGAAAATAGTGACGGGAGCATCAAGTAAGTGCCTCGGTGGCTTCCCCGGGAGAGGAGTATGTGGATGTAAAAAATTCCAAAACAAACCAAGAACACAAAAATGCAAACACCCGGTAGGGAATTACTGCTGCTTACTCGCGACAGCGCCACCAACGGAAGCGATGCTTGAGGGCCCGGAGCCACCGCAGCCCGGCGTCCAGGCTGGATTGTCCCGAATCTTTTGTTTTTGTGGATGGATGGTAGTGGCGGTGGTTCTCCTTTCCATTTTGTTTATAATTTTTGTTCATTTTTCCCCCCTCTCCCTCTCGCTAAGAAAAGAGCCCTACTGAGACCCTAGGTGACAGCATGCCTTCCGTGGCTCCACGTGCCCCACCACAGGATTCACTGGACTGGACTTCTATTTATATTGGATTAAGTTGCTGATATATATATTTTTTTGATTGACACCAAAAAATTACCTTAGCACAAATGCCAGACCTGTGCAGGTCAGAGGCCCGCTGCTTCTCCCAGGAGAGAGGGAACTTTTTGGTTGTCTATGGCAATTCCTCTGTACAGATTGTACTTTTTTTTTTTTTAATTTCCCCTCCCCTGTGCGTTTAATATATGTTCATGGTCATTTGTAAGATATTTCTTTTCCTTATTTTGGTTGCAAAGACCCTTCCGAACACATTCCTGTATAAAGTATTTTGCACTATTTAAAGAAACCCATATGGATGAAGTCAGGCTGTGCAATATAATGGAGAGTCACAATGTTCATCATTGTACCTGTAATGTAACTAATAATTTTAAATGTACTATTTTAAATATGTAAAATAAATTTTCACCATGAGCATGTTTTAATGAGGTTCAAGACTAGTTGACCCTTTTTCCCCATTTCACTATTCTGGGACTTTTAAATGTGCAAATGATTCTTCTTCTCCCCCTCCCCCCCCCCACTCCTTTCCTTTTCCTTTCTTTTCTATGCTTTAGAAGTTGGTTGAATGCACTGACAATCAGCTGCTAAAGCTCCAACCCCACCCAGTCTTCCCTTCTAAATAGCCCCTGTTGGTTTTCTCTAACCTCTGAGATGAGGAAGGAGGCAGATTGGATACTGTCCACCTGGGCGGCCTCGAGGTGCTGGCGTAAATTAATGACTAGAGTAGAAAGTAGTGCTTGGCTTGCCTCCCCGCTGCTTTCTGTGCTGTGTGGTCATGGCTTCAGGGTTGGAAGGGGCTCCTGTAAGATGTCTGAGCAGGGTCACCGACGGAGCTGTGCTTCTGTGGCCCTTTCTCCAGCTCCAGGGTGGAGGCTGCTGAATTGGCCCTGGCCTTTCTAGGCAACCACAGGCCCATCTGGGAATCAGCCGTGTCCCGTAAGGCACAGAGAGGCCCAATGCATTTTATCCTAAAGTCACTTGGCTGTGGTCCCCTTTAAGAAGCCTTGGGAACAAAGGCCCTCCAAGCATTGACGTTGTTATGAATCAGTGGCCTTACAGGATGGACACGTAATGACTTGTGATCTAATCATGCAGGTTCTGAGCAGGTCTTCCTCCTCGCCTTCCAGTCTATTGGTCACTTTTCCCATCTTCTGTGGGAGGGACGGTAGGAGGGGTCAGGCTGGGTGAGAGAGAACAGAATCGATACAAATCGGTCACTTTGGTTCCTTGTCAGCTGCTCTTACACAAGGGGTGGTGAAGGTGGAGCCGAGCAGCTGACTGAGAGTGGGTGTCACTTATCAGTGAAGGACATGCACCGTACCCTCCCCGGGGCCTGCTGTGACCACAGAGGTCAGAGTTCGTGTGATGCCTACGGGCCAGTGTCACCAAAACCCTGTTTCCACATCAGTCCCTGGGCTTGTGGCCAAGAGATGGGAGCTCCCCAGACCATGAGGATGCGTTCTCCTGGGAAGAAGAACATGAAGCTGAGCCTGTCCCACCACTTGTATTGCTCTGAGTCCCCATTCTAAGCACTGTTTGTAACGTTTCTAGTGTCTCACCGAGCATGCCCAATGACCCAGAGGGTTGTAATGACTGAACACACACACACACACACACACACACACACACACACACACACACACACTGTGCTCTCTGCCTAGGAGTCTTCAGCAAGGACCTGCCTGACTCATGTTCTCAGAGAGGGTTAGAAACATGGATTTGGAGCAAAGATGAAACTCTAAAGCTAACAGAGTGATATTACCTAAGATGAGCTTCCATGACTGGGTCTCACTGAGGTACAGCAGGTGGGCCAGGAGCTGGAATGCAGGGGTCCCTCACAGCCTGCCTCTTTAGGAGCGACAAGAGAAGGTCTGGCCAAGAGACTCTGGACTTTTAAAGGGATCCCACTTTCCCAAAAGATTCGAGAATGTGACTATGATTGCTCTTCTTGCCTACTCAGAAAGTTGGATTTTTGACCACGTGTGTTAATGATAAATATTTTGGGGACACCTTTCTCAGAACTTCCTAAAATTCCTAACATATGTGGAATTTTGTGGAGGGGATGTGATACATTTTGGAGTATCCTCCTAAACCTTATATGTCTTTCTGTCTTCTCTCTCCATTAATGAAGCTCTTTTCATTGAGCTCTGGCCTGCATAGGCCTACGTTGGACAAGGAGACACTGAAGGGAAGCCAACCTCACTTACCTCACTTATTTCAGACACTATTAGAGCTTCGTCCAGAATCTGCGGCCACACCTGGAATTATTATGGCTGACCAAGGTCATTCGTACCATGTGGGACATGGCTTCTGGGGTTTTTGTCTTTGAGTCCTAACATATCAAGAGCTCTGCTCTGAGCTTCTCTTGGCAGGTCTGTGAAGATGTAGCTCTCACCCCCCTCATGGGGAAAAATAAGTTAGGACAGTGGGAAAGGGCATGGCCGGCCTCGCCTCCCTGAGAGCACATGTTGGTTCTTCTCCCAACAGGAAAACCCTAGGACCTCTTAGTGGTTGACTGAGCCTCACATGTACAAACACCCAGTGATGTGGAGAACATAGGCCACAAACCCTTTATCCCAGCGGTTCTCAACCTGTGGGTCGCGACCCCTTTGGCGGTCGAACGACCCTTTCACGGGGGTCGCCTAAGACCATCGGAAAACACATATATAATTACATATTATTTTTGTGATTAATCACAATGCTTTAATTATGTTCAATTTGTAACAATGAAATTGGGGGTCACCACAACATGAGGAACTGTATTAAAGGGTCGCGGCATTAGGAAGGTTGAGAACCACTGCTTTATCCTACGATATCCCGATAAATGAGTCAACAGCCCCTGAAGATCCTATCTCCCAGACACCACAGTGTCTGGGAGAGGCCACAGTCCAAACACAAATAACAAGATGGAAACCTCAAAATCGTCCTTTTGCGTCTCTATATCTGATCCCAGGGAAGTGCCAGTAACTTAAACACTAGAGAATAAACTCCTTTTATCTTTCCAACCACCTCCCCTACCACCACCACCCGTTCTTCCCTTATCCACCAAACCGCTCAAGAAGGGACTGCCTCAGGCCTATAAGACCTCATCAGTATTTTATAAAAGTTGCCTCTGGTAGAGTTTCCTAACTCAGTGCTCATGCTTTTCTCAAACACTGCGGTCCACCTTGCACATCTCAGGAGGGCCAGTTCATCCTCGCTCGCTTCCCGTTGGAGGTGAGGTCAGCTGCCCATCACGGAGCTGGCGTGCAGGTTCGGGGCCTCTGACGCCGGGGCATGACGGGAGCCCCTCACCTACCGACGCACCCACAGGTGGCCAGCCCACCTGCTGCCTGTCTCTGCCCTGACCTGCCATTTTGATTGGTGCATTTTTTGGTACAACAGGAAGTCATGTTCATGGCATACTCTACGCATGAGAAAGCGGGCGGAAGTGGAGAACTCGGGTAAAAATGAAGCCACAGGGCCTCGTAAACCCAAGGATATTCTGGGCCACAAAGTCTCTGTTAAAGTGAGTAAGGATCCCGGAGCTGCATCCCACCCCCTCCACTCCCCCCGCAGCATCCTCACGAGGCGACCGGGGGGACGGGGATCTTTCTTCCCAGCGTGGGAGCCAGAGGGGAGGTAGTTTAACAGGTTTTTGCATGCAAGATCAATTTATTTTTTATTTTTTATTTCTCCTGGCAACTTCGATTCAAATAAGTAAGTATTCTTTTTTTTCTTTCATAACTATATACTGTGCAGATGTTTTATAGCAAAATTATCTGCAGCATTATTCCCTTAGAAACGCAAGGTGCTTGATTCATAACAAAGTTCTCAGAGTTGCCCATTTGGCATCGTAGGTTAGACGGTACATGTGGGGTGAGGAGATGAGGGGTGCTCTCCAAACCCTCAACCCTGTCAAGTCTGAGGTTTGGAATTTAAGGGCCACTGTGTCCTTGGCCAAGTTTCATTTCTTTTCCCCAGAATTCAGACATCACGTTCCAGCCTGTGCATGGCAGGGAAGGGCAGCACATTGGTGACGCCCGAGTCTGCTCGGTAATAATCCACCTGCTACTCTTGCCGAGTCTAGGCCTCGGCAGACCCTGGTTGCCTCCTGTCTCAAAACAGTGTGATCCGTTTTCTTTACACTTTGCCCTCTGGCAAATGGAACTTAGACTGCTGACGTTTAATTCTGCTATAATGTGTGATTATCTACCTGGCACTTTCCCCCACCTTCCTGAGCAAATAAGAACGGCCAAAACCCATTCTAACGTCCTTCTTGGGGAAAAGAAATTGTATTCCCTCCTTCACCCTCATCTGGGCAGGCCAGCCTCACCGAAGACCACAGTCTCGATCCGACAGCTCTCATGCTCCATGCAGTTGCTTCCATTGCTAGTTCCTGTGGGACGAGCTCCCAGCCTCCACTCCTGACAAGAGCATGCTGCCGCCTTGGCGACCACACCCCGCCCGGGTTTTCCTCTGCCCGGTTGCCCATTGCCCGCGCTTCTCTGACGTTCTCCTCGCTCTCTAGCAAAAGCTGCCTGTGTTCTAACTGTGTTCTCTCTCTCCCCCTTCCTCATGCTGCCCACCAAGGAGACGAACAGCTCCGAGGAGTCAGAGTGTGACGATCTTGACCCTAATACTAGCATGGAGGTAGAAGCAGCTATTGTTGTCCTATTTCCTACGCTGATTGTCTTTTGTAATGTGCTCTGTGACCGTGGCCTTGCTAAAGTGACCCGTCAGGCAAAGGAAAATTGTTATGTCAGGGCTTCTCGGGGTGTTCCATCCCAACTTAAACAAACAAACGTAATGCAGCTGGATTTTGATAGAAAATTCTACCTAGATATCTTTTTGAGAACACACGCTTGTGTTTCTCTTAAATGCTTGCTTGTTGTTTTCTTTTTTGGCGGGTTTGGCTTTGTGTAGAAGATACCCAGCTTCATTATTGGAAACGTAGAACACAATTTTTTGTTCATGGAAAATGGCATTATAAATAGTGGTTGGTTTTCCAGCTGAGAGACGAGAACCCATTAGTTTTGGCTTTCCCCACTTCTGTTTCTCCCTCCTCCCCTTTTCCTCTTTTTCTCTCCCCTTTGTTCTCTTTATCTGGCTCTTCCAACGGGACCTATTCCTCCTTCAAGACTCCAGCAAAATCATGTTCTAACCATGGTTTTGCAGAGACCTGGCACCCAGTCACTGTGCACAGCTGGCTGACAGCAAATGAGCGATTGCAGCAACGCCAGCGCCTGCCTCTGCCCGGCGCCCAGAGCTCCCAGGCAGTGGCTGTGCCCACCCCGAAGGAAGGAACAGAGCCCTGAGAAGGCCCCCTCTCTAGAGACAGGGAGACTGAAACGCTGCCCTGGGACCTTCCCACACCCGGGGTAACAGGGATGTGGGATGGAACCACCACCTCCACCAACAAGAGCTTCGAATCGCCTTCCAGCTCCTTCTCGGCTGGAAACGATCTGGGGTTATAGGAACGGGACGCTCACCTGGCCCACAATGAATGAAACCCTTGTGAATGTGCAAACCCTAGAGCAGTGGTTCTCAACCTTCTGGCCCTTTAAATACAGTTCCTCATGTTGTGACCCAACCATAAAATTATTTCGTTGCTACTTCATAACTGTCATGTTGCTACTGTTATGAATCGTAATGTAAATATCTGATATGCAGGATGGTCTTAGGCGACCCCTGTGAAAGGGTTGTTCGACCGCCAAAGGGGTCGCAACCCACAGGTTGAGAACCGCTGCCCTAGAGGATTCGCGCAAACTTGGAGTTGGCGTTCCCTACCACTTTCAGAAATCACTGAAATGCTTTTCTCCAAATCTGTGCCCCCATCTCCAATACTGGATAAAAGTTTAGAAATTTCCTCTAAGGACAAAGCAGAGAATTTTTTTAAAAAAATAATTTTTTTATAGCCCTAAGCTTTTCACTTAACTAGATGGATTTTTTGTTTTTATTCTAATTTGACCTGATCCCAAAGAAATCCACCACCACATTATGACAACCACCACACAACCCAAGAACGACCACGCTGCCCGAGATGTGGCAAGGCAGCTGTGGAAGATGCCGATGGAGTTGAATCGGCCAGAGACGAGCGGTTGAAAGTGGGAGTCCCGCCAGAACCAAACAGTCCCCTGTGGATGTGGCTGCGGCCGCAGAGCTACATCTGGCCGGTGTGGGCCTGTGCGGGCCTGTGCAGTGCTCCGCGGTGGGAGGAAGTGAGCATTGCATTCGCAGTTTAAATGCGTCTTAGAGACTGAGGATGCTGGGGGTGTGGGGGGCGGTCTGGCTCTGCTTTCCCTGCTCCCGTGGGGCCCACACCTGTCGGCTTGTAGATGCCTGGTGGCCCTGTACCTCCAGCCTAAGTGTTGCTGGCATGTATTGGAGATGTCATCTGTAAGCGGAGGGAGGGGAAAGCCAGATACCTGTGTTCCAGAAGGCAATTTGGGACCTTTCTCAGCTCGGGGGGCCTGGGGGAGAAGAGTGGCTTTGCTACTCTGCCCTTTAGAGGAAGAAGTGGGCACGGGAATGCAGGCCGGGAGAGGAGCACACACCCGGGGCCATTCTGCATTTAGTTAAGCGTGTGCATGTGCGCGCACACACATCTCAGCCCCGCATTGTGAGCTGCACGCATTTCTGAGGCTCCTGTTCCTCCAGCGCTTGCAGCCTTTGCACAGCTGAATGAGGTGGGTCCCCAGAGGTGCTGGAGGCACGTAAGCAAAGGCATGAGGCTGTCGATGCTGAATCGAGGAAAGCCAAACATTGTCTTGATGCATGCCCAAGACGTTTTCACATTTCAATGAGCTGGAACTCTCAAGGGGTGTGTGGCTGGAAGCTGCAAATATTCTGGTTGACCCAGCATTTCTTGTGGCTGGTGTGTGTGCGGCCCTCATATGTGCCATATGGTCCTTGTAAGCGTCAGCGAGCTCCTCTGAACTGAGCTGCCACCGTGAAGCTAGCCCTGAGCACAGGAGCAGGTGCTGAGGGAAAGCGGCATCACCGCTAGCTTAGGCTTCTCGGGCACAAATAACAAGTCAGAGACAGGAAGGCAAACTGTTCTGGGTGAGCTGAGGGTCCTCAAGGGGTGGGTAAGTAGGACCTCAGTGCACTGTCCATTGCAGACAAGAATGGCCAAAGGTGCACCGGAAGAAAGCTGTGCTTGGAAGACCCGGCTTGAGAAACAGGAGGGAGGCCACCTCCAGAAGCCCACTCGCTGGTCAAGGGAGAGCTTTGAGCATCTTTCCAGGCCTAGCCTGGTCCCCAGCCTCACTCCTGTCTTCTGACCCCGATTATTGTAATGGGTGTTGTCTCCTCAGGAATGTGTCCCTGTGCTCTACTGAGCTTTCTTCACTTCCCTGGCCTGGGGCCTGTCTGGAGCCCTGGCCGACCCCCTGGCCCTGTGTGCGTGCCATGCTAGGTCGCTGCTGCGTCCTGCCCGGCTGGCTGCCTACCCGTGACCTGTGCCAGCACGTCGATGCCACTCCTAGCCGTGCAGAGGCTCTTACCTGGCCTCCACAGCACGTCACTACCCAAGCATCCTTTCTTCTCACCTGGTGGATTGAAGGGTTCCTGTACGGAGCCGTTTCCCAGGGTCCTTGCTTAAACAAGCTGCTTGCTACCCTCAGAGCTGGCATATGTCCCACCGCACTGTTTCAGGGAGATATATAGGCACATCCTTCGTAGCTAAGAGGACAATAAGTCACCTCGGACCCTAGGAATCTGACTGACAAAGCTTTCGGAGGACATCCCGTTATTTAAAGGAAACAGTCTGCTCCCGTGCTTCCCTCCCTCCCCCTGCAGGGACTCATGCATGTTCTCAATTACAACACACTCCCAGCACCGCCCGCTATGCCACTCGCTGCCACAAGGCGGCCTCCAGGTCTGCGCGGTCCCTCGTGACCCAGCACCCCTTTTTCACCTGATGGCCCCGACCACACCTCAGGGCGAACGGCTCCAAAAATGCCTGGGAGCTGTCCCTGGGTTGGCTTACTTCTTTGCCTTCCTAGCCTTGCACTGGCCACACGTTGGGAATAGGAGTGGAGGGGCTATGGTAGCTGAGATAAAGGTTTCTACGTGGAGGAAGAGTCCAAGCAGGCGAAACACAGACACTTGGCTCTCCTGGGGACACGTCGATATTCATTCCATTTCCCAGGACAGCGTAGACCACAGACTGCCTTTCGTTGCCAGGAGGGTAGACGTGATGGTGCCCACCCGGCAGCTTCTCCGTCCTGCCCCACCCGTGTCTGCCTGGTACCTGGGCCAGAGCAGGCCCAGGGCTTGGGGCTCGGCCCGGCCCTCCAGTCAGCACCCATCTCTGAGAAGTCTGAGCGTTACTGGATTCTCTTAGGACCCCGGTGAGGCAGGTTCCCACACCCATGCCACTCCGAGGAGCTGTCAGGACTGTGTGGAGGCTGGGTTCCCGCACCTGCCTTCCCGCCCGGCACTGCTGTTTGGCCACATGACGTGCTCGACGGGGAGGCCTGACCCAGCCTCCCAGCCTTCGTCCTCAGGGACGGGGATCCTTCGCCCAGCCTTTAGGTCAAGCACAATTAACTATATGCATCTTAATTGTTTTAATGCCCAATAGCACTTCTAGCAGAGAAGGTCAACCCATCGGAGGAAGAGGGGGTCAGGATTCCAGAAAGACTGTATCTCGCACTCGGTGTGACCAAATGCAGACCTTCCCCGTGGGCACAGCGCCAGCCCGGAGGCATTCCCTCAGGGGCACTATCTGTAGGAAGAACGGGGTTGGGATCTTGTGGGAGAGGTTCCGACAGCTGAGGGAGAGAAGACACTTAGAAAGGTGAAGCTAATTGGGGAGAAAATTTCTAATTAGGGTAAGAATCATAGACTTTCAGAGTCGACAAAACTTGGAAAACTAGTTAGCCCCGTCCCTTTCATGTATTGTTTAACTTGCAGTAAAACATACATGACATAAAATTGACCATCTTCACCATTTTTAAGTGGCATTCAATACCTTCACAAGTCGTGCAACCGTCACTCTATTCATCTCCAGGCTTTGTCATCATCCCAAACTGAAACTGTACCCACTAAACCATAACTCCCCAAGCCCCTCCTCCCTCCAGCCCCTGGGAAGACGGGGGCTTCCTGTAGAGAGGAAACTGAGGCAGAGGGTGTTGTCACTTTCTGTTGGGAAGTGAGAAGGTGCCCTGAAGGCAGTACCTGGGTGTCCCTGGTGTTCCCCACCCTCGCCACCTGCTCTTCCTCAGCGCCCCATCTCCGGGTGGTTTTAACCTAAAACACAAATCCTGCCAGTGCCAGTTTTCGGTACAAATTTGTTATTCAATGTTCCAACTCAACAAAGAGGAGTATCATTTCCGCCCATCTCAGCTTTGCAAGGCTGAGGTACGAGTTAAATAACAATCACACAAAGGCAGCCTCACATGGAAGAACGGACTCCAGACCGGGCACTGGCCGCTGTGCAGGCTCAGGCCGCTGTGAGGGCTCAGGCCATTGGCCTTTCTGGGCCTGGGGTTCTCTGTAGGCGGTAGCATGGCTTCCGGGCACAGGGGCTGCTGTAAGTGATGGGGAACCTTGAGCGCCCTGCAGACCTAAGGTGAGCTGCCAGGACTCAGAGACCCTTCACTCTCCTGAGCTTCTGATTCTGACAAGGAGACCCCAAAAGAAGA